TGTCTACTATCGCGTGACTTCGCATTTTAAAACGCGGCATGTGAGTCGGATTATTAATTAAATAGCGAATTAAATTTGACATCGCGAATACGACATTTGGGATATAAAATATTCATTTGGTTACTGCCATGTGAAATTATAAACAAGATAAAAATTTATAGATATATTAAACAATAATAAATATCATAAACTCAGAGAATATAGTTAATTGTTAAATTTAATTATTATATCATCGTCTGTTATATCGTAATATCGATAATTTCAATGCTCAACTGATTTCTTGGCTTCTTACATAATTATGCAGATATATACTGCACAGTAATAAGAAGTAACTCGATCTCATCGTCCAAAAAAATCAATAATATTCCAAAAAGTAATTATTCTTCGCTGAATTTATATGCATTTTTCGAATAAACAATTAATAAAATAATTATCTAATTTTCTAAAAAAGATTCTACTTTTTAAATACAAGGTTTTTTTAAGATTTCATATATAAAACTGTTTTTCTCTAATTCTTGTTCAAGTTATTTAAATAAAGTATCAAATAACCGACTAATAAACAAATAATATACAAGTAATAAAATACTCACCCTAAAGTTGCTCCGTCGGCGTCCGATGCTCATCCTAGACTTTTTCCTTTTCTCGAGCTGTTCTGGTTATCAATCCGTCAAGTTCTGCAAATGCACAATTAAAATAGGGTTAAAAACTATATACTCGGCGCTTTTTAAAGCGATCATTATTTTGCTTTGTAACACAAATTAAATGTGCAAGATAAAATTCTAAATAGATATCTGAAAATATAATTGTCACTTTGATTCGCACGATTGACGTTTGGCGAACAAGTCTTTCGAAATATATGTTCGAACGAATTATCAAAGTATGAGACCGAATCTATATTATACGATAATTCAGTATTGCAATAAATTATAAATGGAAGGTTTCACTATTACAATATTGGTTTGTTTACAGATTAAACGAGTTGCGCGTTTTGCATTACGTTTTGCAAAATTGATGAACCATTGATTAAAATATGACTAATTTTGATTAAAAAAATTAAAAGCTTAATAGAACTGTTATTATTTAAATTTTAATTTGACTAAATTATTCTATTTGACTTAATTGATACAGATATAAATCTTATATAATATATATAGGTGTAATTTTATATTTATATATATTTAAATTAAAATTAAAAAATTTGGAAAGAGATAGAGAGCAAAGTGAAAAATGTTTCTCGACGATGTGTAGGTAAGTAATATATGTAGAATATTGTACTGTTACAGAATATTGTGTGTGTAACAGTACAATATTCTAATAACATTTAATTAATATAAATGGAATCAATTTAATAAATTAATTCAATTAAAATAAAAAATCCTAATTAAAAAATGTCTTAAGATTTCTACGTTTCTAAGTTAAATAAATTTCCTATTGCAAATTAAAGTTCGCGATTTCGGGTTTAAAATAATTTTGTATAATAATCACACGTAATAAGCTGTCAACTATTATTAATCTTTACAATGCAAGAGTAATATTAATTTTCACTTTTTCTATCGCGCAAAAATATATTAAAATTTAATTTAATATTTTAAAGCGATGGTAAACATTTACACGCAAAAAGCTTAATAAATAAATAAATTGATAAAGCGGGACATATGTAAAAATAATCGTTTAAGAGCAGATCAAATATAATAAATGTGTAAATATGCGTGAATATTCTGTATAACGCGGTCGGGACACGTTACATACAGTTCGACACATTATGATGATAAACTCACGGAGTGGGTATCGCGCGTGAATGTTATAGATATTATTTCTGTTAAGAGTCATTAGCCCTCTTGACCTGTCAGATTTAAACTTAGGGACTCACAAAGCGACCCTGCCAATCGTCGTTTAAGCGGCTCCTTGTCAAAGTATTTCCACGCAAAGGAAACGTGACAATGAAGTGATCTTTGAACGAGAGGAGCGATTCAAACCTCCAGCCCATTGAATCGCTTCTCTGAATACCGAGGATATCACGTACGCTCCATAACATATGAGACGGATGTTACAATCACCTCTCTCTCTCTCTCTCTTTCTCTCTCTCTCTCTCTCTCTCTCTCTCTCTCTCTCTCTCCTCTCTCTTCTCTCCTCGGCCTTCTCTATCGTGTTGCGAAAAAAATTCGCTCTCCCCTTCAAAATTGTAATCGTTCTCGTCTGTTTACCGGTCTATGGACCCAATAATTCTCTTCTCTCTCGCGAGAAGCGACATCCATTTATCAAAAGCAGATTAGGAAAAAAAAAAAAAAGGGAAAACAAAAATTATTTATAAAGAAAGAATATTCGTCACGCTTTTTATCGAAACTAACAATAAGTTAAAAAAAAACTCATCTTATCGTCCCGTCCTTATCTTTACTATTTTAGAAAGCTTAACGATACAACATATAACGCTCGAAATTGATAAAGAAGAAAAAAATATAAGTTACTCTCATTGGCCTCATGCCGTTTTTGCCCTTTGCCTCTCCTTATATAAAATAAACGCAGAAATGTTTTCAAATTCATTATTTTTTCGCGTGCTCCAGATACCGCCGCGAAACAATCAACTTTCATCCATTTGCGCATCGAGAGCAGTAGTTCTCCAATTATCTCACCGCTGATTATTGCCTCGTCGTTACTCATTATACGAAGGCGTGAGTCCGTAACTAACCGGCGATTTTAAATCACCGTTATGCGCGTAATAATAAAGTTTTCCATTGCTATTGACGGCCATTCGCATCGAATCCACCCTTTGACAACATCGCGTTAAACATCGCGAATCGTTCTCGCGTCGCGCTTTATACACGCGTCGGAAATTAAATCCTCCGGAAAATTTCCGGCATAAAGTTCGTCCGACTTCCTATCTCGCCCATTGTTAAATTCGCGAGGTACAACGTAATAAAGTTCGAGACAACTCAAAAAAAGAACTTGTTATATTTGTTGAAACGCATTTTCTGCGAGATAATAGAGAAACTGTGTTAATACGGTACGTTAGAAAGTAGTTACTAGATATATCTATATAGAGATATCCGTTGTATTTATAGAAATTCGAGTTTGCCCTATAACATAAATAAATGTGTGCAAATATATATATTTTTTATAAAGGAACATTTAATTATAATATTGCATTATAATCTCCAATTTAAATCTGTTTGTTTATATTAACGTATATCTGATCCATATTTTCCTGGCAATCTCTCTCCTGCCGGTACGTAACGCAAATGTATGGGCGTAATTCCAAAAATACGGCGAGAATTGTGGATTTACATTTAAAACGCAGTCAATATTTTATCGACACAATTTGTCACGTTGCCATATTATCGGGTAAATAGATAAAACTTTTTCCCTCAATAAGACGACGTACGCGTAAAATATTATTATATTTATTTGAATAGTAACATTACGAGACGTGTGTGTGTGTGTGTGTGTGTGTGTGTGTGTGTGTGTGTGTGTGTGTGTGTGTATGTATGTATGTATGTGTGTGCGTGTGCGTGCATGCGTGTGTCAGTTCGAAAAATTACATATTTCGATAACGGCCGATAATAAGATAACGCAAACAAGCGCAACGATTCTACAAATGAGCGCGACGTGAAGCACGAACTGCTGATTACACGCGCCGTGTCCGTGGCGCAAATTACAGAATAATTCAATACGCCGGGCCCGCGTAATAATTTGCGAGCCATGAAGTCCAACGGATCAACGAAACGAGAACGGCGAGTGAAAAAAAAGAATAAAGAGAACTGCACTCGAATGCCGAAAGCGCCAGCGAGATGATTGTGCCACAATTATTAACGATATCGAGGAACAGTAGGAAACGCGATAAGGCGCTTAACGCAGTATTTCTTTGCGATTATTTTTTTTCCTCTCTCTTTCTCTCTTTTTTTTTTTGTTACGAGGACCGTTATCGCGTGATTTATTAAACTAGAGGCACGGCACGGTGTCGAAGAGCAGGCGTATTTTACGCTACGATGTCTCCCCGCGAAGTGGCGCTCTCGAAAAAAGATCACGAACACGTCGATAAATGAATAATCTCGGCGTCAAAAAGCACACGCATCGCATTTCTTCGCGATGCTTCAAATATAATTTTTTCACAAACATACACGACGCGTGCATACGCGTGAGAGAGAAAAAAGGAATATATTCGGCGCGTTTCCGGGTCAGCGAGATAGGTCATCGTCCACGAGGCACTCCGATGAACCGAGAATTGCAAGCCTCAGCTCAAAGAAAATGCTGACACTAATCTGCGACGAAGCGTACGTCAGTCTTTTTGCAGTAAACATTTACTTTACAAACTCTACTCTCAAATGAATGCGATCAAGCGATATGAATATTCTTCGTTTCGTCATTAGTGAAACGTAAATATAATACGTCACAAAGTTAAGCAATATAGTTAAGCTTAGAAATCGATTGCGGTGTTATATGATAGAGTTACATATATCATACAACAGAATAAGTTGTAAGAAGAAAAATTAGAAATTAACAAAGATATTCTTTCAAAAATCATGTTCAAATCAAGGCTCGAAATTTTAAGTAGAAACTGAAACTGTTAAAAAAAAACGTACGACATGCATCTGCAGTGTATATTAAATATTTTACGAAAGCGATTTAAGATGTTTCATCATTAATACACGCTTTATCTCCCTTAATGGCGTTGTACCAGCATACCAAAGAGATACATTGATCTCATCGGGTGACATGGTCTTTCACGGGTCACCGAGATGTCAATCAACGCGAGCGAAGACACCTTCCACCAGAATGGAGATAAACCTTCCGCCTGTTAAGACAGATTCGAGACCTCAGGAACCGCCAATGGACCACACGGAATCCCATCGGCAGCATGTTCGCGGCGCGTGCTTGACGCTGATATCAGCATCCACACTCCGTCCCCGTCCTCCGATCCGCATTGGCCCCGGCCGGCTGCCGGAACAAAGTTCAGCCTATACGGAGTCAACTACATCACTGGACCATCGTAACGATTCACCTCCAGTCTCCGTGAACGCGTCGTCGTGAGCGTCAGCGCGGGTCACTGCGAGCAAGGAGAATTGTACACGGGGGAACACGACCGGATGTCGGTCTTTCTTTACATTCGCAAAAGAATTATTGCTGACTCCGCGGATTGATTTTTTGGAATGGAGAAACATAAGGAGTATATATAGTGTAAGGACGCGCGAGAGAAAAAGGACAGAAGCGAAGCGGTCACGATCGCGGCGAGGCGGTTCGCGATCACACGAGATATAATATCGACTCGGCGATTGTGACGACCCGCCTGACCTGTTGCAACTTTGTCAATAAAATTGATATTGCACAAATTGCGCGCCAATCTTGTTGAGATTCCTAGAAAGAAACTGCCAGTTTGAATTGACCGTGGAAGTATTACAAATATTCATGACGGTCAGAATCATCGGGATAGAGTCAAAACGCTATTTGGACGCTCGTCCAAAATATTTGACGAAGACACATTGTCAATGATACATCAAAATTGTCGACCGGCAGGTTGTCAACTAAACTCACAAGTGTCAGACTGTCAGTGTTATATACAGTAATGTCGGTGATTTCAACGTACAAAGCGTTCTCGATATTCAGTGAACTCGAGTAAATCGCCCGCGGATTAAATCGTGGTTCAAATCAAAGACTGAAGAAGAGGTTCGAAAGAGACTTCCACATCTCAACTGCCACATCGGACTCGCGGTGAGAAAAAATGCGTTTATTCGTGGAAATTCTTATTATCTTCCTCGTAGGGGGTATCGCGGCCGAATGGTCGATCAACCCCCTGATGAGAGTGTGGTACACATTCCTCCCCCATTCGCCGTCCGAACGATCGTCGACCGACAAAGGAAACGACTGCGCCGGTTGCGCGCAGAATAAAGTCAACGTCGGGATCGATCCCGACCCGTTGTTGACCGAGCTGAGAGTGGAGTACGTGAAGCAGCAGATCCTCAAGAAGCTGCGGCTGTCAAAGCCGCCCGAGGTCTCGATGCCGTTGTCGACCTTGCCTAAACCTTTAATCAACGGCAACGTGCTACGGCCCGACTTGGAGAGACCGGCGGAGAACTTCTACGGGAAAACCAACCAAGTCGTCGTGTTCCCAACCGAAGGTGAGATTTACCGAATAGACGATATATACAAGATTAACGATCGTATACACAGAATGCGAAGAAGTGTCCTTTCGGAACAAAAAAATTTATAAATATATTCGAAAAATAATTTTATTGCAATAAAATCAGTAAAAGCATATAAATTAATCCAATGTGTAAAAATTAACTTAATACACACTTTGTATTTTTATAATTAAAAAAAAAGCATTAAAATTTTTGAAAATTTATCAAAATACAATTGCTTGGAGAAAAACAAATTATACTCTTCTATCTCGATAATACAATGTACCGACAGATTTTTTAAAATCGCTTAAAATATAAATTGTAAGGTGGAGAAAAAATTCTGACAATATACCTTTCGTCTGTATAATTACGCGCAAACTATTGTGCAAATTCTACCACGTGTAGATTGCTAATGAACGGTTATTCAAATCCATGGCCCATGCACGTTGCGCGTAGATGGAGGAAAGGCGAAGAACGAATAACACTGAGAAAAACAAAACACGCGTCATTCGCGAATATTGTGCGCGCGTCTTTCTCACATGCTGTAGCCCTAGTCTCCGAGTATTCGAACGTGAAACAAAATCTCTGAATATCGAGCGTGCACAAGCTTTTTCGATGGAGCGCAGCAGACGAAGTAAAATCCGCAAATGAACTATTGTGCTCGAAACGTATCCGAGTATACTTGCACGAAAATTTATAATAAATTTGCAGGAACGTGTAATCCACACATACACACACACACAAGTGTAAATTGTTTTTCCACAAATGTAATATGTATTATATTTTGCAAAATTAGAAAAGTCGACAACTTTTCGTAAATAGTTTCTATTGTTAATGGAAAATTATTTATAACTTACAGAACTAAGTTATTAACGTACAGAACTAAATTTCGATACTTTCTCACACGAGTATCTTTTTAGTTAATGCATTACAATATTTTCAACGTATAAGTCCGTAGTATCGTTTAGTATATACAGTTTTACATTTGCACGTATTCAGCGTATTCACACGCAAAACTGAATGCCTCGCATATCGAAAACATCCTTCTCTCGAGAAGCTCGTTTCTTTCTCTTTACCGTCGACTGACCCCTTTCTCTCGACAACCCCTTCTTGGCTAGCCAGACGAGAAACACTGGCGCGAGGATATGAATATTGCGTAATTGCACGGCTCCCTTGAAATAAACGAGAACCGGTAACAATGACGCCATTTCTGTTTCTCTCTCTCTCTCTCTCTCTCTCTCTCTCGTGGCTTGATATTTCTGGAATAGAGGTACCACCGACGACCAGCTGGGACCATGAATTTCAAATTTTCCGCGGCGATGCAAATACGGAAGCCGCGTGAACGGCGCACGTATGAATCCCGGCGGCGTGGCGGAAATTTACCTCGAATTACGACGCAGAATCACAGTTCCGACATTTTAATCGCATGTGTGAATCATTTTCGACGTGCTTGACGCATTTCTTAAAATCACGCGGAAAAACCTTTCTCTTGGAAATTCGCGCGGTTCGCGAAGTTTACTTCAAGTTCACTCCGAAAAGTTTCATCGCAAGCGTACGAAAATATAAGAAGTAATGAAGATGATAAAAAAAATCAAGATAATTAAAATTACACATTTAAATCTTTATCCTGCGCGGTTAAAATAATTGTAAGATACTACACAATTGAAAAATTTATGTTAAATTTAACACATTTCATTGTCCCAAACGGTCCACCCAAATTTTTGTGTTAATTTAATACAAGATGAATATGTTAGAAAGTAACACAAACATTATGTAAAAATTAACACAAAAAATGTAACACTTTGACACAATTTGAAAACAAAGCAAATATACTTCAAAATTGTAAAAGCATATTTCTTCAATAAAATTAGTATTTATAACATGTTATATTAAATTATAACATATTATATATAATAATAACATCAAAATTTTATCTTTATAAGGATTTGAATAGATTATTTTCAACAATAAAAATATATTATAATATATATATTTAAAATATGTTTCTGTTCTGATATATTTAAAAAATGTTTCTGTATGTAACATACGTAGGCCGAGACAAAGGAAAAAAATTTCACTACGGCTCTATTATTCATAATATAATATATGTAACAATGTAACTCAGATACCGTTGTAGTCAGCTCAGATTGCCCGTTTTGGCTTATCTGACTGCCGATACGGCAAAACAATTCTATACCAAATCCTTATTAGACTCAATTATCTAGCATAAGGAACCGTTGTTTCTTCACATGAAAAACAGAAATATTGATATGAAACATTCGAACATCCAGTGAGCAGCATGAAATCAGGCATTTTCTATTATTTCCAGAATATTCGTGCTTACATGTAAGATAGTGTATACGTAGAAACTCTAAGATAGTATACGTCACGTAAAAGTTTTTTACGCGATTGAAACCAGCTGTTGCCATTTCGGCATTCTACCGCGTCATGCAACTTTATTCGCAACGAAACCATGCATAATTTACGACCATGTAATTTCTTGCCGCACTGACGGAATGTAGGAATACGATAATATAATCGTATCGTTCATCGACCGCACGAATACGCTGAATATTATTGCCCCGAATTTTTTTCACGCCTCTTTCTATAACGTTTCCCGCGCACGCGATTGTGACTCCGCGTTTAACGAAAGCATCGATCAGACGATTGCAATACTCCTTTTAGATGTTTCTAATAATAATTCTTTCAACGCCTTTTTTCTTCTTACAAAATATTATTTCGTCTTTTATTAATTTTTCCTCGCTCTGATCTTTACATAATTGTTAAATATTGTACAATACATTTTTGAAGTTCTCTAATGTCAATATTTAACAGTAATTTATTATAAATGAAGAGAGCCATATTTGCTCAAGACAAATCTTGATGCTTAATAATATTTTTACGTGAACTTTTATAATTTCCAGTTCAAATTGTGGGCCGATTATTTATCGATTTTGAAACATAGTCTCAAACTGAAGCCGGAATTGTAATATTACGAATTAAATTGACGTAAAGCAACTTATTAATTAAATTATTTGCAAAAGAACAGCATTTATAGTTTACGTTAATTTGAAATTAATTCGAAATTTTCGAGTTATTTTTTTTTCTTTTTTAAACGTTTCAACTGCGTTTTAAAAAAACAACCTCGATCTCTGCAGTATCGCTTCTCATCCCGCTGTTGGTGTAAAATTCTCCGTTCTCCAGATTCTTCAAAGAAAGCTCCCAGAAGTTCCAAACACAATCTACAATTTTTCCAGTCGCGAACATTCTATACGCGGACTCGCTCGTTTTGTGAACTTTCGTCCTCGCGAACGGTGCGAACTCACGTTCGCAACAATACCGGACTTAAAAAAGGCTCACGTTTCTCCCCACACTCCGCGAGAGATATAACGTTATCGCGCGGTAGAGCGAATTAATGTCCAACGATATGACGCTGCATATATTTCGTATCTTTCTCGGGCGCGAAGGTTACACAGGCCCCCGATCCCAAGACGTAATCCAAAATATTCGCTCTTTTATCTAATTTCGAGACGAAACCGCGCGCGCGCACCACACGAGTCAGCTTTTGCACACGCACGCATGTAAAATCGTAAGTCCGGGATTTCGTCATATTGGAGCATTTATTCGGCCTAGTTAAACTCAACAGCGAGAGATTTCGGGGCGCGAGAGCTGCAGATTACATACGTAACGGCGCGGCGGTGCGATCGAGGCCAGTGAACCGGAAATGTTCATCGCGCTGTCGAATCTGCGCCGCGACGTCGAAAAGTAGTGCACGCGCTCGAGACTATGTCCTGAAGGCATATGTATGTATGTACATACATGGGATTTTCGTTCCGAAAATATCCGAGGATCTCGGAACGACCTCAAGGACTAATATAACCCGGAAATCGGATTTCTAAATGAAAATCTTATGAACCTTGCGAAGGTAGAATAAAGCTTCAATATAGAATATGAGGTCAGCGAGACCCGAGATATAATTCTATCAGCAATCTTTAGTTATTTACTAGAATTACACATGATACATATTCCAGTTATCATGATCAGCAAGAATAACAAAAAAAAGATCTTGTTACATTTGCACTTCGTTGAATATTTATTAACGACTCTACGGACTAATATAACCCGGAAATTTGATTTTTACATGAAAATCTTATAAACTTTGAGAATACGCAAGGCAGAATCAAATATCAATAGAATATGAGGTCAGTGAGATTCAATATAGTTCTATAACGATCCTCGGTGATCTTTGATTATTTAGAATTACATGATACATCCCAATTATCGATGAACAACAGTAATTAACGGCTAGCAGAAAAAATCTTGTCACATTTGCACTTAATTGAATGTTTATTCACTATCGTTGTGTTAAGTCAGTAATTTATGTTATCAATAATTTACACTATCCGCGCTGGATGTCGCGGTTGCGTTTTCAACGGGCTAAAGAAAACTGTTTACATCCCGACGTCATTTATGCTTCGTATCAGCAACTAGATATTGTATATAAAAAAAAATTGTTATTTGTGTTTTATAACTTATTGAAATTGGTTGCTCGTTCAAGGATTAGCCTCTTCGCTCGCACGTGTTTGCGAGATGGAATACACGTCATTCTCGAAAAGGCTTTATCCTCTCGATAGGGGGACATGATGAAACGAACGTGAAAACGCCAGTTGTACATCGAGAAAAAGTTGCGCATGCGAATACGCTCGTCGCCGACGTTTGACACGTGTTGTGCAACGATATGGATTCACTCTGACGCCTGGCGTTGCATAATCCCGGCTATAAATCCATGCGGAAGTGGTGATCAATCGGACACGCTGATCGCCCAAGAATTCGCCCGGAAATAATTTCGACGCGCTTCATAGTGCGTTATATCGCGGATCGTCCTGACAGTTGACGCGTATGTGCACGTCGGTAAAGTGTGCGGAGCACGATTTTTCGGTTTATTAAGAACGGATACAGATGGATTTCGATTAAAACTTATCGAGAAACAGTCTATAAAATGGTATCGATAAAACTGCAAAATAGCTTGAAATTTTCGTAAGCCAAACCTCTTAAAATTTTTAAACAGCCCTTACACTGTAAAATCCTTCTTTGACATATAATGCAAAAAAAGTTAAATGATATAATAATTATAAATAAAAAAATATATCTGTAGAAAATTAATAAATTTTATACAGCCTTGGTTTTAAATATAAAACACCCCCATAAATTGACGTAAACGTTTTATATAAAAGTTATCTAACGAAAAGTAAATAAAAAATAATTTTATTAAAAAACAATATTTATTTTTATGACAATTTTAATATCTTGTTAGTTCTTTGGCTTTTATTACCATCTTTTTAAGAAAATGCAATAAATTGAGAGTTCTTTATATTTATGACCAAGGAGCTGTATCTTTTCACAGTAATTTCTTGGAATAATGGATTTCTTTCTATCGATATGATGATTTGGTCATCGATGTTTCTGTTTAACCTTATGCTCGCGTATCGCACGTGCCGCGCAGAAATAACCTTTGCCGCACTTTGTGTCGCGGTTACGGGAACCTTTTAAAGCGCACTTTTCCAGATAATTGTGGTTCCATTTGAGGCTTACTTCGAGCACGCCGCCGTAAATTGCAGGCCGATCGTGCGCGCACTCTCAAAAGTCTCGAATAACTGAGTCTTCGGTGTCGTTCATTGGCATGCTAAATTAGTTTGTAATGGGATAGCCCGTAGATACGCGTCCATCATAGACGAGAGGCAACCGGATAGCCGTGCCATGCACTCAAGTCAAATGAGGAATATTGAAGTTACGAGCGAAATGAAAAATATAGGCTAACATACTTGCCGTCCCCATTTTAGAGAACAATTTTATCACACACTCTTATTTTCGCATAGATAAGAATATCCTTGAAGATTAAATGTACGTCTTAAATCGAGACTGAAAGATTCTGCAAGCTCTCCGTTTAGTTGTTAATAATTCATCCACCGATTTATTTCCATGTCCAAATATTTTCATATATTTATTCATACATATTTTTTAAATAATTATAATAATGTAATAGAACATTTTTGTGAATCATATTTAATCATATTCCAGGTTGAAACGTAAGAATCCATAAAATTCAAAAATCAAAGAATCAAAGGGCTTTAAAAAAGACGCATTGCATTCAATATTTTTTAATTTTACAGGAAATAATGAAAAATGTTAGCCAATGCACAAATAACGTTTTGCTATTAAAACATCACTTTTTATAAAAATGACGATTGCAACGTTTTTGCAGAGAACTCTTCAATTTAGCAAGAAAAATCAATTTCTCATTTATAACGAGATCTTGATTTCGGCTCTTGAGTCATAATCATATATATAGGTAGTCCGACAATTTATTATATTATACTCTCTCAACAAAAAAAAAATAATCGAACGATTATATAGGTGTAGCCGATTCAGCGAAATATCGTCACAACTTGAATCACATAACGGGGTTCAATTCGGCGGCTCATTTCACGTTTTACCTGTCGAACGAGATGCTGTACGTCGACGTGACCTCGGCGGAGCTTTGGTTCTACAAGGAACAGGTCGAGAACGACGATGAGCTCAAGCAGACATTCGTGCTATCCGAACTCGATCACTGGGACCAGGGCGGAAGATTCGAAAAGAACACCGTCATGGCAATCTTCGAGACCGACATCAGAGGTGGGTAAATGGCGGATGGAATCCTTCTCTCTTTCCCTCTCTCTTGCTTTCCCGTTTGCTCTTCCAAGCCCTATCCATACGTTCGTCACATACGAATCCGCACCGCATAGAAATCTTCCACCGCGAAATTTTGTTACTCCATTGCATGCATGCACTTTGCGAACCTGTCCCCCGTTGCCATGCACATCGCAATTTCGTCTTTTACCGAAAATCCGATACGAATGATGAGGGATAATTTTCTCATATCGCGATATTCCGAACGATTTCTCTAACATCATCTAATGCCTATCGGTACGGGATACGATTGGAATCGATTGCCGAACATTTAAATTAAAATTTAACGAGAGTTTATCGAAAATTCGCGTGTCAGAAAATATTGCTTTAAAAATCATGAGAAGTAAAATTAAATGATTATAATAATATTTCAATAAATTATAACGACAAAATTCGAAGAATTTTTTTTATTTTTCTTTTAGAATTGCACGACTTTACTTCAAAATAAAAATTATAGAAAATAAAAAGTTAAAAAGTTGTGAAAACTAAACGTAATATAGCTATTATTCCTTACGATTGCGAATTTCAAATTTTAATTTTCATGTATAGGCTTTTGTTAGACAAACAATTATTTGTAATGTTCAGAATAAGTTTCATTTTCGGTAAAGCTTCATGAAATACGAGTCCTCTGAAGTGCCACGCGACACCGCATATAAAAAAATCATTGATCTATTCTTTTTTCAGAGGGCTGGGTAAAGACAGACATAAAATTTATGGTGAAGAAATGGATAGGCCGACACCGATTGAACCACGCTATCCAGATAGCTTGCACGACCTGCTCGACCGATCGCGACCGAGCGCCGGTGTCCGCCGAGCAGAGTCTGAAACCGTTCCTGGTGATCCACACGGAGCCGTTGCCGCAGCGGAACAGGCCCAAGAGGCACTCGAATTGCCTGCCCGACACGACGGAGTGCTGTCGGGACGAGCTCTACATTAATTTCAGGGATATCGGCTGGAGCGACTGGATCTTACATCCGAGCGGATATCACGCGTACTTCTGCCGGGGATCATGCTCCACAGCGGCTTCCTTAACCGTTAGCGGCTCGCACTACAACAACGTTATCATGGTGAGTTTAATGCGGCTCTCGTATTCTTACGTCATTTGTACTTGACACAATGTCTCGGTCAATAGTAAATAGATTAATCTAATTTCAGATAAAAAGTAAAAAATATTAACAGCGTTGATAATATTAACACGTAAAAGCCAATGTTATTAAGGCTTCGGTGACATTTAGTAATGTAATTTGTAGTACAAATTTAAATTTTTAGCATCAATTCTTAAAATTGGATGCTTATCTTCGAATTCTTCAGACGAATGATTATCTATTTTTATTATTATTAATCTAAAAATATTTCCTTCTATTTATTCCATTCCATCGTACTTTTTAATCTAGCTCATTTTTCAATGTCATTCATTTTCTTTCGTTATCGCTAAAGATTACTGTTTTATTTTCGTATCAATAACCTTCACTCTTTACATGCAGTTATTAAAATTTGACGTTAATCAGCTAATTCTTCTCGTTATTGCTTGTCCCTTGTCCATTATTCTGTCCGAGTTGTCACAACGGAATTAATGTGTCCGTTGCCCGAAAGGGACAAGTATTACGGAAAGAGTTTCTATCTACATCTAAAATAGCGCGCGGCAATCTTATCTCGCTCGTGTCAGATCGTACGGAGCGCAGATGCGTAACAACCGATTATCGTGCCGCTGAAGAAATGTGTCGCCAGCGTGATTTATATTCGTTCTTTCTTTGCGAGTACGAGGAGAACGCTGACGCCGCATCTTTCTCTCGCTATGTATTTCGAGAATCGCGTGTCACTGCGCCGCGTTTCTTCGTGGTTTTACGAGGATCGTATCTCGTTATACGTATTGGGAGTATTGCCAATAGTAAATATCGCTGATATGCCAAATAACTTTAGATATTAATTTGCTGAACAATCTCAAAAGCCAGCAATTTAATAATCTCGTTCTATTAAGATTAGAATCGAATAATATAAAATAGAAGAATTATTTTGTTCTCTATTCGGAATTATCGACATCACAAATTCAAATTTTTCTTTAAATGGGCTCTACAAAGTTGAAAATTTTACACATTTGAAGTATATACACGAATAAATCGCAGGATACTCAATTTAAGAATTTAAGAACAGAAAAATAAAAAAATTGTACATATATATTATAATTTTTTAATTACTTTTTTTCAAATTTAAGTTGAATATCTCGCGATTTATTCGTGTATGTACTTTAAACATGTAAAAGAGTTTTCAAAGTTTTCTATAAAGACAATTCGAAGAAAATTCGAGTCTGCAGTAATGGTAATTCTCTTGGTAACTCTCATCAGTTCAGAATCTTTTTAAATTAAAATTTTGTTTAAACATTTTTTTGACGAGAATTTTCAGCTAACAAGAAAAACATTTTAAATATTTTTCAATTCGTCCATATGAAAATTGTGTAATTTCTATATTAAAATATAGCTATATTTCGCATATAGCTTTTAATAACATTTCTATAAAAACTGGCTCACGTTTGGGCGAAGTAATCCCCTTTCCATCTCTCACGGCCACACACGTACACACACGCGGGCAATTTACGCTTTACTTAACGTAAAAAATATAATCGCGCGCTGCATAATCGCGTCCTTTATTACCCGCATTAATTGTTAATAAAAGTCGGGAGAGAGGAGGCGCTCTTGTTATACCGCGGCACATAATGTGAGTAATATAGTTTGCAACTCGTAACGATAATGGGGCGTTAAGACTCCATTATCACGCAACGTAAAACCCCATTAACTTAGGTCTATGCTTTCTGCCATATACGAAGCGTGACGCGAGAAATATCGTTTGCATACGCGAAATGGAGATGATTTTCTTATGTTCCTGCAGTCTGGGGGAAAGTCTGAAAGAAACGACACACACCCGCTCGCCTTATACATTCCTCTCTTCGCTATTTCTCACGGAACCTTTCGCTATTAAAGAATCATCGAACATCATAACTTAGGAAATGACTAAAATTTACTTTAAAACTTACTTCAACTTCGATAGTCAAACTCTAATATAAATTTCTCTCTTTCGAAACAAGAAAAATATTTATTAAACTTTAATCTCTCTCAAAAATCCTTTCATTAATTTCAAACCTTATTAAAAATTGTATATTTAAGTTATACTTGCATTACCTAACTTATCAATGTAATTATTTTGTTCTATAAATACAGCTCTGGTTGTAAATATAAAGCCTCCAATTTATTACATTTTTTTTTTGCCAATTAATGAACACGAAAATGTCGCTTCCCTTTGCAGAAATATTTGACCACGGAATCGGGGCAACGAAAGAACAAGATAGTGCCGTGCTGCTCGCCGACGCAGCTCGCCCCGCTCCAGCTGCTCTACATCGACACGAACAACACGATCACGCAGAAAACGTTGCCGAACATGGTGGTGGAGGCTTGCGGTTGCATGTGACGCCGCTGCCTCGAAGGGCGAGTGGAGGGTGAGTAGAAGCACTATCGTCGGTGACGAGACAAAAAGACGAGGACCAACATCTCACGCCACCACGTCCAAGACTATCGCTCGCGCATAATCGTCGTGAAACCGAATCCTGCAGGTTGGACGCTCGCAAAATCCGTTCGTCTCGATGCGAACGCGAAGAAGTCAGTCGCGCGGAAACGTACGACAGCGATGATCGCCGGCTTCGAGATGGCAGGCTGATTAAAGATAGGGACACGCTATTGTTATCGTCACTCTCCCTCACGTTGCATTGTAAATGATGTTAATAAAGTAAATATTATTTATAAAATTAATGAAATTATCATAGATTCGTAGAATTTCTGCTTTTTCATTTTATTCGCCAGCTGTGCGGGTATTTATAATCTACATTTTATCAATATTCTGTGAATCATAATTTTTTTATCCTACACACGCGGTATGACGTAATTTTTACACGTACAAATCATGTTGATAAAAAGACGTGAATAAAGATATTTATGCCTAATCATGTCACATGAGAATGCGATGACATTCATTTCAATAAAATGTCTCGTTTGGCTCGAACGATTTAGTTCACAAGAATTACTGCACATATATTACGTCTTTTTTTTAATATCAAACGTGAGAAGCGAAAATACAATTGATATATTCGTTCGATAACGCAATACAACAAAATACGGGCTTGCGTGATGTAACAATGGTGTGTTCCCGAAACCTGAAATCCTTTAGGTTGATTGCCCAAGCCACGAGATCGACTCGAGCTAACGCTTGCGGCGCCAGGGGAAATTAAGGCGTAAATTAAGGCGAGCCGAAGCGTGGAGAGAGCTCGTTACGTATTTTAGCGTAAATACCGACACCCCTCCGCGTGCCGCGCCGTACGTCTACGAGGCCGATAGCGAAGAGACCTTTCGGGCAATTTCGACAATAAGCTTTACCGCGCGCGCGCCTTCCCAGCTGCGTCTGACTACGTATAAGGCCGTTTCTACTGCAAATCACCGCCGAAGATATTTCAGCTTCCATGTGAAGAATCCCTAGATTACGGATTCTGACTGATTAGCTTTCAGCGATGCGATATGATTTTTATAAAGGTGAATTTTTATATGAATATGCTAATATTTGTAGTGAAAATTGTATTATATTTCCTAATCTAATTCCTTACGAAAAAACATAATGGAAAAAGAGAAGCGATTTTTGCGAAAAAATATGGCCTCAAACTCGGCCTCTCACCTAAGACAGATACTCTAATTTCAATTTCAAATTATCGTCACATTTCGAGGAATCTGTAAATAATGCACACTAATGCTATCGCTGAGATAACGTTTCATGAATGGATTATATCAATCAAGTCAATTGCTTTTAATCTGTTCAGTCACGTTTGACATCAAACATTTATGAAAGATACGTCTAACTATAAGCAAATTTGCCGTTGAACTTTGCACGTCGTAATTTCAGCGTCTCTGAAAAAAAAAAGTGGACAGTGGTAATAAAGTTACGCGATAAATACTCCTCTCGACGATATGACGACAATTTAGATAGAGCCGACGATACGACAAACAACTCGCTAGAAGCCGTACAGTATTTTCTCACTATCTAACGCACAATCCGAAACTGTTATACCGACCCCAGGCTTAACTGTATTTAGTTTAAGAAGCGTGATAAGTATGTTCGTAAATTTTATTTATTGCTAAAATAGGATTAAAAACGTCGTCACCTTCACGTTGACGGATTAGCGGCCCACGGCTAAAAAGCAAGGATATAATGCAATGACAATTACTCTACGAAGTAAATACGTGCGATTATGGCATAGTAGTATATTATTAAGCGGCACGCTAAGCGCCGACTGTAGTTGACACGTCGAGATAAACGGCGAGTGGCTTGATTGCGTCGAAAATTGTCGGTGCAATTAAACGCGGCCCGATAATATCGATATACATTTTCTTCCTTTTGAAAATTTTACTCGTATTGAGCGCAAGACAAGTGATATATCAATCGATTTTCTCCGCATTCGAGTGCCGTTAAAATTACGCGAAACCGACGAGATAGATTCTTATCATCTCATATTTTAGTTATAAACTTCCAAGCCGCCTTAATCAATCTTAAGTCAGAATAATATATAGCTGCTAAAAATATTACGAAGCTTTTATTATTTCTTTAAAGCGCTGCAAGATAAAGTTTTTCATTAGATATAGATTTATTCAAATAAATCAATACACTCTCGAGCCTGCGATATTCAATCAAGTTCATTCACTCACAATCTTAATGCATAGAATGCATAGTTGATATATATATATATATATATATATATATATATATATACGGATCGTATATTATTTTATCATAAATGCATATATAATATGTATATTATATGTGAACTAAATTTTATTAAGCATGATACCGTAGTGAGTTTTCTATTAAAGATGTGCGAACTATTCGAACGCGAATCGATTCGATTCGGATTTGAATCTCGGATTTGATTCTCGATAGATATCTAGAGTCTCGGTACTGTAAGGCACTACAGGAATATCCGAATCAAAAACGCGCCTTGGGAGGCATTAAAATCCGTCGGCGCGTCGAAATAAGTCGGCGTTCAAACTCACGTCGCACATTTCTCAGACTACGCCCGAAAACCAGGGAGAATTCATGGGGCGGACGAGGGGCAAAAACTATAGACGAACTTCCGCACGGCTTCGAGAGTGAATTAACGCGTTTCTTTCAAAAAATACATTTCACGTTTCTCTCTCTCCCCTCCCCCCCTCCCCCATCCCACCTCTTCGCGTAACGCTCGATAAACCTTTCTCGAGTAAATCCATCTCGTCGGTTTCTCCCTCGGCGCCATGTAAATATATCATTCGTGTTTTGCTGTACGGTGCCACGTCTCTGCAAATGAATTTCCTGGAGCGCTTCCTTCCTCCGTCCGGGAGACAGACACAGAAACCGGCGAGCGGTGGAGCTGTGCAAGGAGGAGGAAGAGGAGCAGAAAGAGGTAACGTAGAGAGAAAGAGAGAGAGAGAGAGAGAGAGAGAGTGAGATAGCGGAAGAGAGGGGAAAAAGGGGGATGAAGAGAGGATAGTGAATCGGTGGAGGAGCGCGCGAGAGTGAAGAGGCGGGAAGGAGGAAGTGGAAAAGAAAACAAACGCGCACCAGGCAGAGCGAGAGACAATGGGTGGCAACCGTACCGCGGGATCGAAACCGAGTATGTCCGTTAGCGACATTAAATGCAACAGGGAAATAATAGTTACCGCGACTCTACGCGAAGCAAGTGTATGTCTTTGGCGACAGCGACGAAATAGCGTAATCTTTACTTATACGAATCTGCCCCGGCACCGTGTGCATCGTGTTGAAAATTCTCTCTCTTGTTAAAAACAGTAAAAAGAGAGCTTTAATCTTTATAATCCCGACGAAATGAATGTCGCAGCATCAAATTAAATCAACAATACATATAATATTTCTTCTCTCGTCACAGTCGGAAAAAAAAAACACGTAATGTAATTCTACAAAAAATTATAAAACATTTTTAGGATACCGCATTAATATTTTAATCAGGGCGAATACCGTTAAGTAAAAATTGCGTTTGATGCAATATCTCATTAATTTGTAAGACATTTGTAATTACTGCACGGGCAAAAATAATCTACTGATCTTCGGAATTATGACGAATAAAAACGCGAAAATGATGTCTGTAATATCGCGCAACACGATGCCGGAGATGGGCCAATATTTTCATCGTAGATTTAGCACGAAATGCCGCGTGCGTGTTTTAAGTCTTCAATAACGTCGAATTTCTACAGTGTTCTCTCTCTTTTTTTTTAAATAAATCTCGGCCATTCCTTTCGCTAAATGCGCGGTAAGGTCGTAGATAGAAATAGTACAATCGATAATTTAATTTTAGAGCACAAAAGAATGCGATATTTAGTAAAATAATAAATATATTGATAAAAATTTTTTTCGTTCTTCTTTGTCTGCTGTTCGTATACATGTTTACTTGAGGAAACAAGGAAAGTACAACGAAATCTGCAGCTTCACAAACTTCGTGCGCCGATAAGAAGTGTCGAGCACTTATTTAGTACATGTCTTAACTCATATCAAGCGAGCCTACAGACTTCGTATTTTCATGCATACTCAACGGAATTGCATGTATAACTTTCTCTTATTTTAACGCAGATTAACGTAGGTATGTACATATAGAGAGAAACACTACGTCGTGCAAAAGAAAAAATTCATATTTTGCAAAACTTCATATCTTATTTTTGTTCAATGTAACATAATAATATCTCTTACATAAAGTTCGTTCTATTAAAAAAATTTTGCTCTAAAATATAGTTTAACGTTATTAAATCGTTAATTTAAAAATGCACATTATAATGAGTTGTAACATAAAAACTTTATTATAGACTCTGATAAAAACTTGGAAATTAGTAAGACATGCAAGTACTCCAGAATAATGAGACGGTTGACATCTCAAAATAAAAGCCATTTTATTTTCCCTTTCTACTTGTGCCTCGAATAACGAAGTTCATTCTAGGCAAATCTTCAAATTTTAATATCCCCCTCGTCCCATATTTTTCGCGTCTCGTTTAACGCGCAACAGAAGCGGGAATCATTGTTTCGTCATTCTGTTTCGCGGGGCTCGCGATCGATACGCAGTCAAGACGAATCCGGCGCGTTTCCCCGCCAGGTTTTGTTATACGGCACTACAATATTTATCCGCTCGCGCTGGCAGTCGTAGCCGGTTAACGCGCGTTTCCCGCACGGTAACGAGTTTAACGTTACGTGACATCGCCTCGCCACGAATTAATTGCGTCCGCGCGAGTGCGAGTGCGAGTGCAGTGTGGCAATTTCGATCGCTGCTGTTGCTGTTGCTGCTACTACACTTCGCCCGTCAATCAATCGCGTGGAATTGCGGCCGGTGGGCGTATTTACGTATACGTGTACGTGCGTGCGTGCGTGCGTGCGTGCGTGCGTGCGTGTGTGCACGCACGCGCACGTTCGTATTATTTCGCTCCAAAGTCCGACGATTACTTTAATTAAGCATGAGATTACGGCGGAAAAATGAAAATAATGCACCGCCGATAAAACGCTGACATGTGACTGGGCTGTATCGCCACGTAACATCGTGTGACCTTTTCGCTCGGCAGCTGTATCTTGAAGTCGGATGTCGACTTTAATTCAGGTTTACCCTCGCGAATAACAATGCCGGAGGAAGACATTTGAGAAATGAAAGTTATTAAGTAAGTTGCAGGGAAATAATATTCCGAATTAAAGAAAGATCACGTTAAATTTCGTGATATTGCGAATTGTGCAAAAGCATTCGTTGTAAATTTTTTTTAATTTTGATCATAATTTAAAGACAGAAAATTATTTTTAACTTTCTAAAATATAATTAAAGAAGATATCGGCGCATATATTTTAGGAAACATTTTTCACTAAAAAATAATTTCCTATAGATAATAATTATATATTCTACTCGATACAAACATAAAAGATTTAAAAATCAGAGATTTGTGAAAAATGTTAAAATCCTTTTTACAAAGCAAACTGATTTTTCAGTTAATTTGCAGTTAATCTGTTTAAGCATAATTTTAATTAGAAATATTTCATCATTTAATAAGTAAAATTGTAAACTTATATATGAAAATAGCTTCAAATCAAATTGAAATATTCTAATATTTTTCATATCTCATTAATGCTTTTGATTCATAACAATTCACGTTACGATATTAATTGTGAATTTAAAAAAATATTGCAGTACCATAATAAAGATAATTGTTCAATTTAATTGACCCCTCGAGCAAATATTCCTAAAAATATATTCTCTCATAATTAATTCGAAAACTGATGCAGATTTTAATCTCCCGTTAAATTAACGTAAATTTTAATTATCACCAGAATTAAATTAAAATTTAATTGTCACGGCTCGACTTTCAAAAGAAAACGTACTTTAATTATAGCCCCCCCCCCCCCTCCCGATGGCGCGAGGTGTTCTCTAAATTTCACAATTATTACAATAAATTAAAAATATTATTTTATCGCACTCACCCGAAATCCCGAGTAGAGCATCATTATACCTGCGAACGCCATCTTGTCGCCTCGTTCCGTGATTTCGCCCCGATATTTCACGCGTGTCCGCACGTCCTGAAAAAAATCACGCATGTTATACGTATATATATTATTACCTACTGATAATACTGCGTTATAAATATGAAATATTCATCGCACACAGCTAATATTTTCAGGAATCTGCGTTGAAAAACGAGATATATACGGCATTTCGGCGTTCTTTATTATGCATTTATTACGTATTTCACTCAACGTACGTCCATTCTTATATAACGTGATAAATAGTATATCTACTGAGAACGTAATATGATATGCATGACGCGATAATAACGTGATTACAATCTAATAACGCCAGCGCCAGACGCGAAATTGATCGCTAAAAGATCGGCGCTTCGCGCGTCGACGACGCGTTCGAAGACGCATATATTCGATATCGCTCAATTTGAGCATTAAGATGTACTCTCGACCATTAATATTAACCTAATTACCTTCCGGCGTGAGAGATCCTCATTATTTTCGCCCCATCGCCGGACTCCGAGGCCGATTCGCGACGTTTTGCACGGATATAAGTCCCGCGACGCGACCGCGTTCGTTCTCTCCGCCATGAGTGGCGATAGGAACGACGCCAGTTCGTACGCGGGCACCACGCGAATCAAACGAGCCTTGGCACTACGTGAGTCAAACGAAAGCCCCCCCTCCTCGCCGCCGCGCCGCCGACGAATGTTGCGGCGAGCGATCCTAACCTCAGCTGGCTCAGCTGATTATACAGCTAACCTAAAAGTGACGATTGCTGACGGATGCTCATCGAATTCTGATAAAATTCTGTTATTTTTGAGACGGAAACGTGACGACGATCTCTATTAGCTGTCTCGACGAGGAGCGACGTCAGCATGATTCTCGGAATAATCCCGTTTACGTGATCGATTATATAACGCGACGGCACGGACTTCAACATGCTGTCCGAGGTTGACGTATTCATCAGCAACTACACGCTGGTCGATCCCGAGATCTATCAGCTCTGGGTCGACGGGCACACTTGTGAGTGAAAGGAATTGCGACCTTCTTCGATTTTTTACGCACTTTGAGGATTCGTATCTACGAGTCTAATGAATGCCTCCTTCCAGCCAGCGACGCGGTCAACATTCTGCATCAACGAGGAATCTGTCAGCAGACCAACGCGCCGCTCGAGCTGGTCGCGTCCGACATCCTCGACCACTATCGCACCTACGCTTTGCTCGAGAAGCTGCTTCACACCCCTACGAAACTCGCCAGCGAGCAGCTGGCCTTTCAGATAGAGCCGCAGACCAGTCAGATGCTCATAGAAATGTAGGAAGAACGTTTGCGTGATGTGATTCTCTAACTCTAATCATTAACAATGTCTTGTGAGGCGCCCTGACACGAATAATTCACTCATCTCAGGTATTACGAATTTGACGATGTCGTTATACGCGAGTTACTGGGGAAAAAGATAACGTCCAAGAGTAGAAAGGACATGGATGAGGTAGCGGAGAAGACGGGGATCACGTTGAAGAGCTGCAGAAGGCAGTACGACAACGTGAAGAGGGTGTTTAAAACCGTCGAGGATTTGCCAGGTTCTCTCGCAGCAAATATCAAACAGCACTTCTTACTTTCTGAGGACCTCGCTAAGTACGTGTGGCATGTGACTCATTACGAAACCTCATAAAACTCTCTTGTAGCACAAATAATTACGATGCAAATCGTTTGTGATGTAACTGACTTGTGTTTTTTAATTATTGCACAGGCGATACGCCGCAGTGGTGTTTATAGCATGCCTGCGATTCGAAATGAATAAAAGGAAATTACAGTTCTTAACGTTTCCCGATCTGTATCACTGTGCCAACAGTATGATGGCGTCGTGGACGTATCGCTGCGTCGGATCCGAATACTTTGACACCGACTTGGACAGGGAATTCTTACAGGAATTATCGGAATGCAGGGTTCTTCTAGAAAACGACAAACATCACAAACAGTATGTTGCATCCTATATGTAAAACGAAGCAAATAATGCTCCTTCGTCGCAAAAACTAACAGAGAGAAATATCGGTATGTTTCAGTTTAGTGTGCCTCAAGCTCAAGCCGATGCTTCTCGATCGATCTTATCAGGAACTGGACGTAAACTTTCGTTCGTACTCGAGAGCGATACTCGGTATCGGATGCAACCTGCACAGATCACGAGAACTGAGATTTTTCTTTTTGGAGCTGGTGGAGAGGTGTATCGAACCTTGGCGGCAAGTCAATTGGACGCATTCCGATCTGCGGAATTTCTTAGCTGTCTATACGCAGTGCGCTCTTGACATGGATGTACTTAGGTAGGAGTTGCAGTAACATAACAGATGTTGCATGAATTAGAATTTCGTTCAAGTATTGGGAACTTCAAGGGAAATATTAATTATTCAATATTTTTCATCGCAGAGAAGGCGAATTGAGAGATGCGTTTGAACGTTACATGACAGTAGTGACATGCTGTCTCTTACGTATGTATCATACATAAATTGTCAATGTAAAAAAGTAAATATATGCAGTAATAATAATGATAATATATACTTAGGTGTAGAAGTGAACGATTGATAATTTGTAAATTACTGTATTTATTAATTTTCTGTAATAAATAGTAGACATCAGTGCAGCATCTCGTATGCTGCCTGTAATTGTGCAGTTAGACATACATACGCATATTGCACTATCAACATTTTCTTATAAGTTACTGATATTTTCAACTTGAGTGCGCGATGTGCAATTCTACAATGTGAAAGGCAGTTCGTATAGACACGGCAGTAGCTCGATATCTATTTACTACGTCATAATTATTCAAATAAAAGTTAATTTAAATTTATTTAAATTCAATATGAATATTAATGAAATGAATTAGAATTTTTCTCCATCCGAACCTCTCGATTCGTTGGCAATTGGATATTTTAAATAAAACATCGCTAACTACTAAAATTTCTTACTTATTCTTACTAATTTTTTCCTTAGGTATTTACATTTATTATCGCATTGTCTAATAACAGTATTAACATCGTATGTATATCAATGTACAGAATACACATCGCACATTTTGCGTGCTAGTTTTAAGAAGCACATTTAAACCTCGTTTATACATTGGCTACGTTTCCGATATGCACTGCAAATCTATACACCGAAAATCCATAGTACACGCAACGAAATTATAAATTTTCAGTACTGGCAGTACTGAAGTGGCAGTACATCGGAACACGGCCAATTATAATCAGTATCTTTTTTGTCCAAATGTACTTTCTCGTAAGAATTCTACGCAAATAAAACTTATAAGGAAATGTTTCCAAAATATTCTACCCAATGGCGACAGAGTATTATCTTTACTGAACGGAGATTTTGTACTTACTTGCCACTTTGTTTTATTTCTCTGCATTTATTCTACTTCATTATTCATTCGATAGCTGGACGAAGTACGCTGTACCGGGGTAAAGATGCGGGGGATGGGGACAGGAAAACTGGCGTGTCAGGAAAACCGCGTAGAAATATTGTAATTTCACCTATGTAACTTGCAATTGACTACTGCGTGACTCCTAACATTTTGTTAACGGCGTTCACTATGTCTCTGATCTGTGGCAAGGCCGCTATCTCCAGCGATTTCGCATACGGCATAGGTGTGTCGACTCCCGTGATACGAATCACAGGTGCGTCAAGATGATAGAAAGCCTCGCCTGGAAAAGAAAAATAGCTTCTTTAAGCAGAACCGTCGGGAATAAACAAGTTAAAAATAAGTCAATTTTCAACCCGGTTTTTTTTTTTATTAAATAGCTTTGAAATCGCAATTCATCGATCTTTCATGTGTATAAAAAAAATTAATTGAATTTTAATTAGCTTCAATTTAAATGATCTAATTTTGAGTTAAAATAAAAACTCAATACAAGTGAAATATGAAACACTGATTGAACGAGACTTACTCTCGGCGATTCTCGCGCTGACCTCCGCGCCGATGCCGCACTGCGGCCAACCCTGCTCGACCGTCAACAGGTGTTTCGTCTTCACCACGGACTGTATGATGGTGTCCATGTCCAGCGGCCTGAGAGAACGTAGATTAATCACCTCGGCCTCGATTCCCTTCCCGGCAAGTTCGTTGGCCGCTTCGAGAGCCTCCTCGACAGCCTTGGAATGTGCTACCAACGTCACGTGATTGCCCACCCGCTCCACCTTGGCCTTGCCGATGGATAAGACGAAGTCCTTGGACAAAGCCTCGTCAGACATAGGATACTGTACGCCATACAGTATTTCGTTTTCGAGCACCACCACCGGATCGGGATCCCGTATGGCCGCCTTGAGCAAACCCTTGGCGTCCTCGCTGTTGTAAGGTGACACCACTTTCAACCCGGGACAGTGACTGTACCAGGCACCGAAGCACTGCGAGTGTTGCGCCCCTACGCCCGCGGCGGCACCGTTGGGACCGCGGAACACGATTGGCACGTTGACTCTACCCGCGGACATGTAGAACGTCTTGGCGGCGGAGTTGATAATGTGATCGATCGCTTGCATCGAGAAATTGAACGTCATGAATTCGCAGACTGGTCGCAGGCCGGCCTGAAAAGTACACGTGAAAACAGAGAGGTATATTAGAGCGTAATAAATAAAGCTTAATAAAAGTTCTCAAGTCAGCCAAATTTGCTAAAAGAGCTTATTTCAAATTATACGTTGCGTATTGTGTTAATAGAACTGCAACAGCCGAGCATAGTCTACTGTTTTTTTACCAGTAGAAATGTATCAGAAAACGAGTAAGTCCTATGTTACGAAATAACAGCAAAATACGCTCCATTTCTGTTGCATTTCTGTTACAGCTGGCAAGTCGAATTCGCTGTCAGCTGCTAACATTTTGCCACGTGGATTCTACACGTACCATGGCTGCTCCCACCGCGATGCCGGTGAAACCAGCCTCCGTAATCGGCGTGTCGATGACACGCTTGTCCCCGTACTTCTTCCAGAGACCCCGGGAAACCTTGTACGCACCGTCGTAGAGCGCTACCTCCTCGCCGAGCAGGAACACCTTCTCGTCCCTCTCCATCTCCTCATCCAGGGCCGAGTTCAGAGCGTCTCGCACGGTCATCTGAGCAAGATTCACACATGAATGAATTTTCATTGAGGAAACACCGAGAGGCAAGTGAATGACCTTTCATTGTCCTTCAAGCTTCTTTCGCTTCTCCGAACGAACGTACGCGAGAGGGGTGGTCGAGTCGGGAAGGGTGAGCAAGGGATAACCCACGTCGGTCGACGTGGAGGCACTCGCGGGCGCGTGGAGAGTCCGAGACGTGTCCCGAGAGAGGACCGTTCGCTTTTTAGGTTAGACTTAAGTGGAGTAATCTCACCTGCTGCGCTGCTGCCCATCTCGACGTGGAGAACGAGCGGCGGGCGACGGTCCTTACGGCGGTCTGAAAGCAAATGAGCATCGTCGTGATCGTCTGTTGCGGAAACACGGAATCCCGTGCGCCACTCTCTCCGAGCGGGTCGCGACAGTGGTGTCCATTTCACTCGCGCATCGGCCATCCCGGTCCTTCCACACTCGCGATGTTTATTTATATAACACGCGACCGGAGATCGGAGCGAGGTGGCTGCCACGTAAACGTGGAACGGATCACCCGATCGTGACGGCTCATTTTTTTTCCGGATTCGCGGGATCTTTTACCGTGAGCATGTTAAGCCGTTGACAGACGTTTCTCGCGGCGGGGGCGGCGGGGCCTTTTTTTCTGAGAGCGATCTCTCTCTCTCTCTCTCTCTCTTTCTCTCTCTCTTTCTCTCGGGACTCCCGGGAGACGATTCGGCAGAGACGTTCGGGGAAAAAAATCCTCGCGTCCTGATACTAAAACGCGGGTCGCGTTACGAGATGCCAAGGACGCGCGACGTTCGGGATCATTCGGGCCGGTTACGAAACGTGCGTCACGTCGCGAAGTCGTCGGTCCGAAACGGCGGCGCGTCGACTGCCGTTCGGAAGCCGAAGCGTGGCAGTCCGCACGAATCTCCAAGCGACGTTGATGAGGCGAGATTATCGGACGATTAGGCGATCGCGTGACAGATGCGTGCAACGCGCTCCGTCGAATCGCGTTCCGCAATTGTATCTAATAAACGTATACTTGCGAGACGCAGTCGAGATTCGAATTATAAGTGAGTTATAATTTTTATCGTACTCGCTGCGCACAGCTCGAGTTCGTTTTCCTTTCATGCGCGGCGAGTGCATGCCTCTGTGAAGCGTATCTCATTATTTTTTCCTTCAATTTTTTTCCCCTCAGTTTAATTTCAAACGCAAGATGTGCAACTTACAATTAGAGAAATATGCAATAATGCAATGAATAAATGTAGTATTTTTTTTTTCAAATTAAATAAGTATCGAAAAGGATGAAATATGTGATGTACTTTATCCTTATTTATACATTATTTTCAAATGAAAATCTATATGTTTCTCAGATGTATTAATTTTCTTTCATTTTAAAGAGACGCAATCTTTTGTTTTCGTATAAGTAACATATAAGTTACATATAAGCAACGAATAGCGAAGGAAAAGATAAAAAAACAAGGTCGGTATTCATAGTCAGTTCTTATTTTAAGATCGTCTTAATTGTAATATTTTAAGATGCTAATACAGCTCAGCTGTGATTGCATGGTTCATAAAATCTTAAGATTATGTACTTAAGACGATCTTAAATATTAAGAACCGATTATATGCGAATATTAATCTTGGTCACCTTTTGTTTTTTTTTTCGTTCTACAATGAAAATTTATATTTTTACAATATTATCTTTCTTTATATGTTATTTCTTTGAATAGAATATTGCAGAATTTTTTCTGCGTTATATAAGAGGAAACTCTGATACGTCAATTAATTTATAATAATTTTTATTTACCGATCGGGAAATGAAAAATATATGTGTGTACGGTAATGTGTATGATCGATTATCAACAAGTGTGTTTAGAATGAGTGTGTGTTGATGGTAGATGGCAGCAGCATATTAATTTGATTGGAATAATAAGCATGCGCAAATTGCGTAGTTTTCAGCACGTTCTTAACGCCGTGCATGTTATATTGCAATAAGAGGGATAATTCGAGTCGTGATCATTGAATATTGATCATTACTGGTAACGAAATTCAGAATATTTTTACTGCGACAACTTTCCAGCAGGATATTATATATGTAATCACAAAAAGTTTAACAGGTATAATATTATTAAGTCAAAACATTTATTGAAGCGATCATTTTAGACATTGTTATCATTTACATGCAAAATTTCTCAATGGAATTGTGTAATCACATTCGCGAATCACCAAATCATATATAGGAACACCGAACGTTTAAAGTTTTAATTGCCCGCGCACCTTATTTTTTGTGTGTTCCTCATTTCAAATACTTAATCCTCTGCAGAATGTCCTGGAAAAGAAAGTGTTTCTAAAGAGGATATTTAAATTTCATTTTACAGTACTCTCTGACACGGTGACCTTATATACTCGTGCTTAAGACACTGCGGCCGACGAGACACATCGGGATGTCGGATGCTGGATGACGCATGCGGAATGAGATGTCGCGAGGAAAAGCGCGAGATGAAGTTGAACGCGGGCACGTACGTACAATGAGCGCGACGAGCACGGATATATGACATGCCATATGTTTACATTTTACAACGTATACTTTATTAATTGCAATTACATGTAATGCGTTTTGCATTCTCTTGCCCCATATGCAAGTATATACTTACACAAATGCCCTACAAAAGAAAACAAAAAAAAATAGAAAAGAACATACCGACGATTTTCGCATAGCCCCTCTCTCTGCGCGGCGTAATATGTATATATATTTTTTTTTTCTTTTCATTGGTTTATATATTATATGTATATGCGTGAGTCCATAAGAAATACCTTAATCGCTACGAGACATTCATAATCTACGTTGTCATGATTCATGGTCGATGTCGCATTTAAGCACTGATCGATCGATTGTTTTTTTTTTCTTTTGTTTCTTTCTCTTTTTTTTTTCTTCTGCTTCTTCATGCGATGTGTAACACTAATCTAGATCACAGTCGTTTCCGCTTTGCAGTCGAGTAAAGAGATGCGATTGATGCTCCGACATGAGTGAGGGTGAATGAGAGAAAGGGAGAAAGAGAGAAAGAGAGAGAATGTGTGAGCGAGAAAGAGAGAATGAGATACCGGCGGTGATTATCACTCATTCATTCATTATTTCCGATTACGCAAGCGATCTCTTCCCGTTTTGTCTTCTTCCTTTCGTCTTTTTCTTCGCGGGCTCGGAAACTGGCAAGAGATGATGACACGAAAATTTGAAGTCGCTTTTTTACAATGAAAATCGTGCTCCTTTCAATTTCTTTTTTTTCTCTCCCTGCGAGAAAGAATGGAATTAAAAAGGGAATTCAATCTTTGTTGGAATATCCGAAAAGAAAATATGAAAAGAGGAGACAGATTCTTTTACTGTTTCCTTCTACATATCTCTTTTCCTGCATTCCAAAATCGAGATCGAATCCGCAATTCTAATTCTGTTCTTTATTCTTACAAGATTTTCCCCTTTCGGCCGTTTTTCTCTTACAATGACGATGCCACGATGAGGATGCTGCGTGTCACATGCGTGTGTGAGTTATTTACACAGAAAATGCGCACATTCACACCACAGTTTACCCTCTGCTCTAAACTTTACTATGCGGGCGACAAACGATGAGAGCGAGTGATTTCTGTTCTCTTTTCTTTTCGTCGATGAAAAAAAAAACACATGACGCGGGATGATATTATAGACTTATAGAATATACCGATCAAATCGTGCCGAGAATTGAGAAGGAAATAAAAGAGAGTGTCGGGATATGTGTTGTCTTTTTTTTTCTGTATCTTGTTTTGTATCTTTTTTTTTGTCGGAATTTTTATTAACGAGAGAACAACAGTTTGAGTAAAAGTTAAATCGACTAGAACACTGGCTAGAGAGTAAAAAGACCATCTCTTCGGTTCAAGTAAAGTCACAGTTTCAAAACGTAGAATAGAAAGATAGAAGGAAGAAGGGAAAAAAGAGAGAAAGAAAAAGGAAAGAGATAGAGAGATAGAGAGAGAACGAGAAATAGCAAGGGAGTGAAAACTAATGACGGAAAAAGAAGAGGGTAAGACACAAAGAACGGGAAGAAAGGCAGAGAAAGAAAGGTAAAGAGACAAGTGGAGAGAGCTGGCGACAGAAGTGTTTGTATCGATCGAGATTCGATCGGTGAAGAATTATTATCATTTGACGCCGGAGCAGTAAATAACAGAGGCCAACAAAGATCGAGATAAAATCGATAGACAGACAAATAGGTATACAGACAGATAGACAGACAGACAGACAGACAGAAAAAGTGAGAGAGATCATTTTCGTAACTGTTCTAATCTAATTAATCGTAGAGTATAGGAGAATTACCAATAGTAAGAATAATCACGATAATCATAATAATTCTAACGTTGTTAGCATTGATAAGTATAGTATAATAATTTAGCTTTTTTTATCTTTTGTTAAACGTTCCAAATTCCCCACGCTTTCCATTTCTTCGTTTTCTTTCCCCTGTTCTCGCATCTGTTAAAGCTTAAAACTCTCGCACTGCGCGCCTGGTCTTTCGCCTCTTGTAAAATCTCATTACATTCGCGCGACGGCAATTATCGTGTTACGGTGTGTGGTAGTGTGATTTTGTGTGTGTGTGTGTGTGTGTATGCGTGTGTTTGTGTGTGTGTGTGTGTGTGTATCTGTGTAAGGCCGCGTTTACTTAATCAATATACATCGTCGCGACGATAAATCGTGCAATTACGCTTCGCTGATCGCTGTGACGCTAGTGGCGAAACATTCAAGCAGCTGTAGCAACGCGCTCATCAAGCCTCTGAATCATCCTTGTTTTCTCTTATATTCATCTCTTCTCCGATCAAACATAAAATCATAAAATGATGTAATATTCAGTAATGACAATCGAGATTAAATTAGTATTTTGATAAGATCAAAATTATAGTTTAGTCAAAATTAAATTAAATTTTGTTATCTGTCCAATATTATCTCGTGAATTTTTCATTAAAAATATATTAATACTGAAAGTATGTTTTTAATTTGGATTTATGTCTGAAAAAAATCGATAATTGGTTGAATTTCGGCTTAATACGACAAGGAGAAATTCCGAAGCGTGATAAAGGCATTTTTGTCAGGCACCATTGTTGCATTCCGCGCGTCTCGATTTTGAAAGAACATTAATCAAACTGAAAATCGAGCGCAAAAACGTATTTTTGATCCAACCCCGTGCGTGTTTTCCTCGGGAAGGGAAACCACCGAAAAACACGGAACAATATACCGAGATTAAAAGAATCCCTATATGTAACAATTATCTCATCCTTTTAGTTAGCGAACTAACATGCACTTATCAAATTCTGACGAGAGAGAGAGAAAGAGAGAAAGAAAGAAAGAGAGAGAGAGAGAAAGAGAGAGAAAGAGATAAAGAGACAAAGAAAGGATAGAAAGATTGAGAGAGAATAAGGGTTCTCGCTTTTCGTCGCCCTAATCTATAAACGTGCGATGCATCGAAAAATATTCTCATCAAGTTTGAAAGTCGACGATGAAAAGCATAACATCGTCCCTAGGAATTTGCGTTCGGCGCGCGCGCACCGAAACGGGCTGTTGTGCCGTATGCGAATTATTTTCTTTGAATGCGGTCTCTCGCTTTTTGCAATGTGAGCGCGCGTGACAGAGAACAGATCCCTCAATCCGTCAGATTTCCGCGCTCTCGCGCGAGCTCTCTCTCGCTACTTTTTTTTTTCGTGTCACATAAAAAATTTACCCTTTCCCGTTTCGCCACCGCTAAGGTATGTACAAACGAATGGTAAATCCCTCGCCTCGCGTTCGCGCGACTGCCAACTGTTTTATAGTTGTGTTTCTCTTCTCTTTCCCTTGTACGTTAAAATTTTTACTGCCTTACTCGTCGAAGTAGGGTGAAAAATGTGTCCGTCGCTAATCAGGCAGTGAAAAATCGATTAAACAAACAATTTGGCATAATCTACATATATTTGTCTTAAATGTAATTCCATATATATTTGTTTTTCTTTTTAGTGAATCATACAAATTGCTCGAATCTAATCTGTGAAGAAAAAATTTGCACGTTTTATATCATTTTCCATAAGTTTCGATTGTTAATTAACTTTATATCTTTATTAAATCGATTATATTTCTCATTTTCTCTTCGCTTCTTACACACACAATTCGTCGCTCTAAAATTATTTTACGTAAAATAGCGGCATGCATCTTAGGACTTTGAGGTAGACAGAGAAAGCTCGAAGGGAGCTCGATATGAATACGATTTTTATTAGGATTTGTCTCGCGCGTTATAATTTGAAAAGCAGAAATTGCACAAAACGAACTTCACGTGTGGACGAGATGCTGCAACGCAAGATAGAGCAAGGATTTTTTTTTTTTTCTTCACGGGGACGTACATTTTTCATCCTGCTTCGTTGTTATACTTTCGCGTTTGATGCACTTTCAAGAGTTTATATCAAGCTGAATAAAAATATCCATTGATATACGAACGTTATATCGTGAAGGTTTTGAAAATATATATGCGCCCCCCGTAATTGAGAGGCAAGGCTTTCTTGCAATGTAAACCTACATAACACTTGTTTCTTTTTTTTCTTTCACAGGACGTTAGTAGTATCGACGTGTGTCATTGACGACGATAACGAGAGAAAAAAATAAAGCTAAAAAAGATATATATTCCTTCCGTCGCGATTAAGAGCAAAATCGAAAACATCTCAATGCCGCGGATAGCTTCGTTTCTCGATCTTCTAGATATCACTCGTTAACAGCGACTCTCGACGGTAAAAATCATCTGCGGTAAACACGATTGAGAATTGCTCCCCAAATCTGTGACCGTTTCAAAAGGTTTCACGTGTATCGAGAGCTACTTTTGAAAATGAAAAAAATCGTCGAGTGAATGCACAATGTGCATTTAGTGCATACTGACGAATTTTTTATACTCTGCAGGATATTAATACTTCTCATATTCGATTCTTATATAAAAAGAACTCTTCCCTCATCGTCGAGTGACGTTAAACTAAAGAATTTTATTAACGCCACTCGTTAATAAACGAAGAATCCTCCGATTTATCTTTCCGAGAGCGACTCTCGCTAGAAAAGTTTCTCATTTGCTCGCGTCCTTCTTCACTTTCTGCTCGCAAACAAAGAATCGCGAGTCACGTTACAGATTGCGGAGCACATACGCTAGTACATATATCGATATTGCGTACAGTTTATATAATGTAATTTAATTATAAAATAACTGTAAATCAGCATAAATGTAACACAGATAAAAAATAACGTGCTATTACGTTCACTGCTTCTGATGGTTATTGGCGACCATTCGATCGCGGTTAATTAGCATACTTAAACTTATCTCTCTGCGCGCGTGTTATTTAATAATATAGTACCATCGGAAAGAAACCGCGTAAGATAGCGATATTTAATATTAAACACTGAGATATTATTTATTGCCGTTTGGGAAACTGTTATCGTTTATTCATGCAAAATTATGCGTTAAACCCACTTATCGCTGGATCACAATCTCGAACATTACGCATATATTACGATGTATACGAGTAACATCAACTATATCAATCCTTGTACAAAGAGTGCCTCGGACCACAAATAATATTCAAGACACAGATGACTACAAACGCGTTTTGAAACAGATATTTATATCGATTAATTAAGTTTCAAATATAAATAACAGAATCTCATTTTATAATTAATTTTAACTCAACTTCGATGTTTCAGAAATTGAGTTCGCAATTGCAATGAGATTTTCAATAGAAGAAATTACTAATTGAAAATTCTTGCAAAATAAATTTTCGATTCTACATTCATCGATAAGAGAAATATTTTTCGATGGGTCTCTCTCCCATCTCGCGTAACATTTTAGTTTGTGTTGTAAAACAACGTTTTTTCCTATCCTCCGTTTCGCGACAAATTCTCGCGACGATACGAGAGATCTTTCGTTTCGAGTATCGGGCGAATGGTCGTCCAGCAGATAACAGCGATCGTATCTAATAGTTGGAAAAGCATTGCCTCGTTGGTCGCAAAATTAAATTCGATAAGCAGCTTCGTCAGTCGCGGTTATCCTCCTCCCGCCCCGCTTTTCCTCCCCTTTACTGTTCCGGGACTCCCCGCGTTTTCCCACTATCGCGATCCCACTGTCACGTCCCAGGTAACGTTGCAATCGACCCGAGAATCTTTTCCAGCTTATAATATGCGAAATACGTGCCCGTGCTCTTTATATCCTCCGAGACGTACACACAACTAAATCCGCAAAAAACAACTCGCGGGTACATAGACTAGATAGGAAAAATCTGCATTCTGTGCTCTGACACAATTCAGCTAATATATTATATATATATATTAACGACGTTAGCCTGTGTGTCGCATGCAGACCACGATAGAATGTATGAATACCTCATAATTACACGTTGCATATGCATGTACGTTTATATACATATACCTTTGTAATATGATTAAATATCTACGCGATTAGATTTTACTATCTCTCTGGTCTATATCGCACGTGTACTCAGCGCAATCAGCCTTCCCGAATATATAATTACTTCGGCTATGTTTCCGACTATTACCTGAGATTAAACATAAATCGGTAATCAATTAATTAAAACGAGCCCACGACGAGTTCACGTAATTCTCGCGGACGCGCGTGTTTGTAGTTACGTCTAATATGCATTATTACCTCAAATCCGAAAGCTATATATGACTAAGTAAACGTAAATGTATCAACAATTAGTTCCTCGATCTCGTGATTAATCAATAAGTTAATTTTGTTAGCTCCGCGCGATTGAACGTCGCGGCGAACGGATGAGCCTCCCTCTTTCTTCGAAGAGGGAGATCCGCGTGATAAAACCGAAACGATCTGCTTAGACGATAAAAGCCAAACTGACCCGATCGATTGCATCGTTTTCAATCGTACCATTCGTTTTTATATGGACAAAATTCTAGATCATCGTACTGCCTATATAGGGTACTGTCTACGCCTTTAGAAGTCTTCCCGTTCGCATCCCCTTATTTAGACGAAGGAACGTACTAGTCGAATGTAAGGTTTTACTGGCAGAGCAGGTTTTACTGCTAGAAACAATAACTAGAACCAATTGCTGGCTGAGCCGAATTTCGTAGAAAGACCGCCGATGCCCTTGCCGAACATGCTACCGACTTTTCCAACTACGTTCGAGGTGACGTTGCTCAGATTGGCCACGTAATTCGCGTCCTCCGTTATCGTCTCAACGATCGTCACTTTTGTCTTAGGTCTCTCCACCTCGTCGTCATTGCCATTCTCTGAAAGCCCTCTGCAACGTAAAGAGAGCATCGATTAACTTTTCTCGCTATAAACGAAATATAAATTGAATACAGAATTGTAAAGTCTTATTTTTATACGTAAAATTTACGTTGTAGAAAGCTAGATGAAAATTTTATACAGCCTTGGCCACGCGAATATCAGGCTCCTTATTATTATTTTAACTTCTAAGCTCGTTTTAACTTGAAATTTTTTGGCATTTGCTGTGAATTATTCTTTATACTTCAAAAATCCTGTGTAAACTTATGTATAATGCCGGTAATTAACAGAAAACAATGCAAGTAAAAAAATTACAGATAAATAATAAAAGTATAGATGCCTATTATTTTTGGCCAAGGCTGTAGCTAGAGAAAGAAATTATTTTCACGAAATATATATATTTTGAAATATTCTTCAATTTACGCACAACTTCCGTTGTATATTTAATGTTAGAAATTGGAAAAGATCTTACTCTACGTTCTGAGCGCTCATGGTTAAGGCACAAGTTGCTTCTTCCGTCTTCATCCTCTTGTCTATAGTCTGATATGTCTTCGTGTTGAGTTTCTCCTCCATGACACCCTGAAGCTCAAAGTCCGAGTAGATCTTCTTCACGATGTGAGCCAGACAGGTACATTGATACAAATTCAGGCTGTGATCAAGTCTCTCGGACAACCAGTTACATAGCATTTGTATCTGCGCCGTGTACCATTGCTGCAAACGTAAATCAAACGTCAATCTCGACGAAATCTTCTCCGATAATGCAGGAACGTGTTAAAGCTGCTCTGATTTCCCTCTAGATATACAATTACAGATTTTTTCGCGTGTTATTTAGACTCTTACCTCGAAGAAAGTCAAAATCCACAATTCATCGAGGACTTTGCTGCGAATCTGATCTATACAGTTTCTCATAAAGTTTACATAGGCTTGTCCCATTTCTTTCCCGCTTCCTGATACCTTCTGCAAAAACAAATCGTAACACGTCGATTAAAAGTATTCCGTTAATTTTTCTACGTATGTATTGTCGCTCTCTTGTCGATTTTTCACTAAATTTTATTAATGATCGAAGCGAATACCGTAAGACTGAGAAGGGAGCCAATAATGGAACCCTCGTCGTAACGAGACAGCTTAGAGAGCGTCGTTTCCAACACTGTTACGAGCTTGTTAATCATTCCTTGATTCATTCCCGCTGACGTCTTTTCAATCATGTCGTCGATCTTAGCGTGATATTGATGCTAGAAACACGAATATTAATAGCAACGCAAAATGCACCTGCTGAGCGCGTTGCGATTTTATGTGGAAAAATTATTTTATCATTTTTTTAGTAACACCAATAATATTCTTTAGATCCTTTTGCAACGCGCTCTCATTCGTACTCTCAACACTTTTTGTGTATTTTTTACGTTAGAATTATATCTTAAAAATAAAATAATACTACATATATTCATATCACCGTTGATAATCATAATCATAACGTAGCATATGCATATCAGAATTGTGAAGCTCGTAATGCACTTGAAGCAACTATAAATACATAGTTGACACAAAAAATTACTGTAATTAAATTTTGATCATTGTAATTATCTCTTTCTTCTCTCAGTATAAACTCAATTAAATTAATATAACTTTTATGAAGATTTTACTACGTTTACATTGAAATTATTATTTTGCGAGTGAAAATGCTACATCGTGTTCTTCGACGCGATTTTCCGGAGAATCAGCCACCGAATGAACTTACCACATCGACACCATCGACAGTACAAAGCTTAAAACTCTGATTCTTGGCGTCCAAAATGACGTTCACCATTGCGCACATTTCCGACGGTATGATATAATCTGTGGAGATGAAGGTCACGCCTTTCTTAAGCCACTGTTGGAAGGCCGCGTCGGTTCTCTGAATGCACGACTCCACCATGTCGCATGCCATCAGTTTTAATCTCTGCTCGAGGTGCTGCCGGAACTCCTGATCGGGCCAGTGGAGTCCACCGATGAACGACTGCAACGCGTCCAGCTTCCAGAAGAGATCCTCCGATGTGGCGCAGCCGTTCCCCTTGATCTCCCATCGTTCCTTCTCGAAGCCCTTATGGATCGACTGTGCGATCGACGTTTCCATAAGGTCGACGTAACGCACCACCAACGGCGCGAATGTGTCGCGTAGATGCTGATGGAACCGCCCGTTCTTCAAATTGTCTACGTGCAAATTAAATGTCGCGACCATGTCTATAGAACCCTTAGATCTAATATCAAAGCGCGCATCTTTCCGATACTTAAGGTAAAAAAAAGATTAGTCCAAAGTTAAATTGTATTGCAAAGTCGTAATATTGTATAAGGATTAAGCACTCACCGTCGGTCTTGAGATAATCATTCATTATCTGGAACAGCGGGAAGCTGTCCCACGTGTCTGGCGGTTGCTCCGCGAGCACTTTATCCATATCAACGGCAAATAGCGACCAGAAGATCTCGGCGTGCTCCACCATAAGGTCGCTAAACCAGGCGAACGCCTGCGGTACAGTGTAGTAGGAGCGGATCGTGAAAATATTGGACATCACACATATACGGTGGGCATGTTCCCTCTAGCTCGGGATGATGGGGACGTCACCCTGAGCACGGGGCCCTCGAGTACCCAGAAGACACTACTTCTACTTTCATAATGTGCGTGACAAACGGTCGTAAAACGGTCGTTTGATGCTAAGCGGTAAGCGTTTGCTGCATCTAAGATAATCACAACGTGTGATTATCGATTCGAGCGAAACGTCGTGAGTGATATCGCAATCGAATGTCGACGAGGCGTCTCTCTCGGTTGCGGAAGACGTCTCCGAGTGGGAGGTGAAAGTGAAACTAAATTTAAACTAAACGCAGCGGCGTGTGGAGTGGCTGGGATAGACGCAGCAATGAATTATTCAGTTTCCTTGCTAAATAAAAGTATTATTTTTGACGCGCATATAATTTCTGATAATGGAAAAAGAATATTGATCGATGAAATTACACGGTTGATTACCGTGCTTCAACTTAGTTTACATGCAGAAAAAGAAGATATTTTCATACGCGTAAGAATACGTGCAAGAATATTATATAATCTCCTTAGAAAAAGATTATATAATTTTTTTTAATCAGTTAAAGATTAAAAATCTTCTATATAAAAATTATAATATTCTTACTTATGTATGAGAACATTTATCTTCATTTAAGATTAATTTTCTTCTGCGAATATAATTAAGAAATTATATTTGAGCTTTCTCGAAAGAATATACGACAGTTACTTTATATACGCTCATGAAAAATACACAGATCGAATCATCATTTGATCTTTGATGCATCCATCCTGTTTATTGTTCTATAACGTGTTTCATGATGTATATACATGGATGTGTATGTAAATTGGAAAACAATACAACGTAAAAAGAAGTAAAGTGTTGCTCTTGTCTCTCCGTAAGAGAGTGAACGTCTCTCAGTTTCAATGGGATACCTCACGACGCCCGCAATTCAACGATTATTCTACGTGAAAAGCGACTTTCGCGATGGTAATAGAAGCTCTCTATGCGATTGTCTACGCGAGCCAATTGTCTAATTGCGCGACGAGAGAGGAAATGAGCGGCGGACGCGCGTTTTGTCTTCTGAGGAGGTGGCGGACCCTTACCACAGTCCGTATTTCAAGGCATGCTGACCCTCTCTCTCGAGAGCCCCGAGAATCGACACTCAGTTCTAAAAACCCAACTAATACCTCCGAATAATGCTCCTCGTTTTGCTGGAGCAGGTCGACGCACAGCTCGGCGAGGTGTATGAGATCCTCCAGCTTCTTGCTGGAAGGCACGCACACCTCGCCGCTCAAATCGTCCTCGATTTTCGCTTCAGCAGATAATTTTGTGTAATTCACTAGCGCCGCCGTTTCCAAGCAGTTCTTTATCAGAGCCTTCACTTCCTCCTGTGGCACGGGCGTCACGCTGTCCTTCATGAGAACGCGTTCCAAAAGAGATAAAGTCGCTTTCAACGCGCCTTCCGGACGCCCGAATGGAAAACTGTACCTGTTGCGAGAAGGGATACAGTCGGTGACGTTTAATCGGACGAAGCACTCTTTGGGCAATTATTTTTGGAAGAATATTGATTAATCTAATTTTAAAAGAATTTCTGTTGCAATAACTATTATAGTATGCATACAAATTAATTTCTTTTTAAGTGTATATTATTATAAAAATAATTCAAATAAGAATCGCAAAAGAAATAGATAATTTTGATAAAAAAGTGAATTTTGTTGAGAACAAAAAATTTTGCGATAGAGATCATAAAAAAATAATTTGCAGAATTGAAATAATTGTTTGTAATAACTATATTTTTTTACATTACTTCTACAGTTCAACGAGGATTAGAATTGCTTACCTAAAGTTGGTGATTTGGCTCTCGAGAATTTGTCTGAGCCGTTCCTTAATATCTTGAAATTTATCTTTCTCCTCGTGGGTAATCGAGCCTACGCCATCGGCGGATGTTGTGTTACCGTAAACATGAGTGGCACAGAAGGCGAAACTAAAGTGTATCAATGTCGGATCTATCATAATCCCACGATCGATTCTGTCCAACAGATCGTGAAGATAGCAGAGATGCCGAAAGCATCCGCGCACGCCGTATCTATCGTCAGAAAACAGACTTGATTCGACATCGTAAACAAAGATAAAAGAACAAAATAATCGCACTAATACTTTCCATCCCGCTAAACACAAAGTAGCAGTAACATCGATATAACTTGTCACTCAATATAAATATATAATATAGAGAAGATCGCACACGGGGTGCTGGTTGACTCAAGAGCCGAGTTGACATTGCATTTATATATTTATGTCAAAAGAAACAATAGAAGAGTTACCACTTAAATCTAAGTGACGTATTTTTAGTTAAAAAAAATTATAAAATTAAGTAACGTAATGTTACTGTTACTTTAGTTAACTCTCTGTTTAGTGAAAACTTTATAATATTTTTATTGTCTTGTAAACCATTATATATTTATGTGATTTATGAGATACATATATATATATACACTTACACACATACTTGATTAAAACAGACAATAAAACAAGAGCAAAACATATTATGAAATATTTTGCGAAAGAAAACATTAACTGGATTTTTTCAAAGTGGAGAACAAACTTCATTACCTGGCACAGTATTCATCCAGCACGAAAACTTGACCAGGCGAGAACCAGCCAAGCGAGCAGTAAGGATCGTTTAGTCTGTAGTCGAGGATCAAGTTCTGCAAGGACTTGAATAAACCGTGATGGTCGAACTTGCACGGATCCGCGCTGATGTAGTCCTCCATGCCGTGCTTCTTCGCACGGTCGGCGTCACCTTGAATCTTACTGATGGTTGAATTCTTGTCTGACACAGAGATCGGCGGGGTGGGCTTGTGCGACTGACCGGTCGCTCGATACATTGCCATCACCCACAAGTGACACTCATTCTCATCGTCCGAGGCATAGACTATATTGTCGCCCTCGCGTACAGCGTTGAAAAAATACCTGTCGAATACATGCGACATGTGACTGCGAATTGTGTGAATTGGAACGGCACGATCTTCGCTCGTCAGCTGTGAAATATCTTGCTCGATCAGATTAGAAAATTAACGTGTAAAAATTATATAAGTCGGATTAAAAGCTAATTGCTTCCAAAGTATTGGATACTAATTAATTTTTATTACGTAAAATTAACTTAAAAATAACTTAAAATTAACTCAAAAATCTATTTTTTTTAAGCTTTTGAATTATGTAAAACGTCTAATAGCGTGTTTTTTTTTTGCAATACTAAAACAAATTTAATTAAATTTCTACTACTAAAAACAAAAATCGATCATTAGTGTTTGTCAATAACTTATTGCAATCTTAATATTAGGAATCTGTGCGACTACGAGCATGCTGCTGCAGCGGGGGATTAGGTATTTCTCGCTCTTTCTGCGAGGGAGGAAAATTTACCTTCCTCCCTCCAAATCCATTCCGACCATGAGATTAGCAGAAACGGCCTCGATATAGTCCACTGTAAAGCCATCGAGCTGCATCATTTCCGACGGCTCGCTTTTCTTTTCTTTATACGAGCACATCGCAAATGTGTACTGCGAGACTTGGACCAACACAAAGTACCGCTTCTTCCACTTTTTCCACACGGACTTGCCCATCGCGTAGAGATAGCCGCAGTGCTTCATGTTGAGCGGCTTGTCCATGCGGCAGGCGATCTTCATTCGTAGATCCTGATCGGCGCAGTTCTTTGGTACGCTCATGCGATGCCACTCGGGCACTTTGCACGACAGCGGGGTGGGCCGCAGGATCACCTTGCCCAGCTCCTTGTCGTCGAGCGCGAGCATCGTCTGATTCTCGGTGTAGAGTCTGACCTTGACCACCGGCAGCGGGTACATTGTCGTGAAGTCACCCTGAGTGTCCCACCTATAAATAGGACCCGTGGACGAGAATGATGCGGTCGGTCCTGACCTCCCAACGATATATCGCGATCGGGGGGGTCTCCCGATCGTCGATTCTCTCTCTTTACTCACATAGGCTTGGAGGCCTCGGCCTGATCGGTTTGCAGCTTCTCACCACCCTCCACCTCCATGGTGCAATAAACTATTCTATCGGGTGCTAGGCTTTTGAGGCCCTTGACCTCCATTACGACAACTTCCAGTTGGAAGGTCAGGGCGACGTCCATTTTCGTCAGTTGGGGATCGGAATCAGCGGAGTCGCCCTCCAGTTTAGCGAGGGAACCCTGACAGCGGGAGCGGGAGCGCTCACCACGATGGTTGTAGCGCTTCAGCTTCTGCAGCCCGTATTTGCTATCTATCGAACCCTTGGAGACCGGTAACGACTCCAAATTAGTCATTAGCAGGTTGATAGACGACTTGAGCTCCTCGATGTAGAGCGACTCCATCTCTTTCAGAAGGAACCTGGGCATGAGCTTGCGGTTCTAGGGATATAAAGAAGGAACGGTCGGCGTTTCAGGAACGAGCAGAAGCGATTCGGTGGAATATCAGCGACAGAAACAGATATAGAACGAACGTATCCATGTCCAAAAATGAAACAGCATTAAAGTAGAATAAAAGCCGAAATGAAAAGAAGAAAAAGCGATCCGTCACGGTACCTTCTCCATCTCGTTGACCTTCTGTACGCGACCGTCCAGCTCCCTCCTGATGGCGGCAGCCTGTTCGTCGGCTGAGTCCAACAGGAGGGCGTTGAACAGAAGCTGGTGCTCAAATTTCTTGATGCCGAGGATTTGCTGAAACATGTCGTACAGCTGCTCCTTCGACAGTATCAGCTCCGAGTTTAAAGACTGCTGTTGCATCCTGGAAGGCCGTTTGGTGTCCTCGTCACCAGTGCCTTTCAAAATGCAATCAAATTTGGCCAACCAGGACGTAAGCACAGTCTCTTTGCTCAGTCCGTCGATTTCCGGGAGGCTCCGAACACGCTTCTCAATGTTCTTCTTGAATACCTCGCGGAAGTCGAGCTGGGAGCATGCACCGCTCTGCACCATTTGTACCACTCGGTCTGATTTCAGGAACACATCGTAGTAATTCTGTATGGCATTATGGAATGCCTCGTCGGCCATGATCTGCGTTTCGCCCTTCAAAAAGCTCTGCAATTCATACGAGTATGTTATAAATTCTTTCTTTCATGTTGTAACATTTCTCTCGCCAAACTATATAGAATTCTAAGTTTCATGTATTATTTCTCTTGTCGATGTTTAGGACAATTTGCTTAACAGGACTACATATCAAACATTTTTTTAAATAATTTTAAATAATTTCTTTACGTTAAGTGGTACAAACATAGATTATATTCTTGTATATAAAAAATCTTATATATCGCGTAAATTTAATTCCCATAACAAGGAAAAGGCAGGAAGAAACAATATAAATCTCACGCAGCTATATACAAGACGTGAAATACGATTGCGTTGGTATAGCGCGGGGACACAGTCTATATTTATAGCGGCCAATAATTTAATGCGATCGTACAGCTTCGATATATCTAAGAGCGACGAAGGTGAAGGTTACAGGTTAAACTATAAGACTCTGCATAAGGCTTCGAGAAACGGCTATTCACTACAAAAGGTTTCTCTTATTTCGTAAAATTATAAATATCTGTCACGGGCATTTAAGCAATATTTTTGTTCGAGTGAAACATAAGTAGACGATCGATAAAGATAATAGAAATAATCGTATCATACAAATTCGATAAAATTCTCAGTAAATTCTAAGCAATGTTATTCAGCATTTCCTATTTTCATATTTAATAAAAATTTATTTAACGTCTTTTTTAATACGTAGGAAATCTATCGGCTTACCTGAAAACGAGAACAAATTGTCTCCAATTGTTGCTTCGTTACTTTCATCTGCCTTCGCGTCATGTCCATCGGTTGTTTGGCGTTAAATGGATAAGCGATACATCTAGATATGAAGACGTAAAGCTGGATCCGAGTTTTCCTTTGCTCTTCCTCTCTCTCATGCTTGTCCTGAGGAAGACAAGAAGACTCGACTATCGGCGAAGTGAAATAGCGCGTATTGTTGGAAAAATTGTCATCCGATTTCTTTCCGCGAAAGAAATTGGATAAAGTAAAATGTTTCTCACAATCGCTTCAATCGTCCGCAGTTTAAAAATCTTATTATGTCTATAATAAGATTTCTAATGTTCATTCTCTACGGAAAGAAATTCTCCGAGAAATTTTACCCCCAGTAGAAACACAGAAGTCATAATGATATCATTATGAAGTCAAATGATGTTATAAAGACGCTATCATAACTTTACGTTTTTTTAAAGATCTAAAACAAAAATACGACAAGCGAAAAACTTCCTCGGTGAAAAGCGAAAAAAAGTTTTAGTGCACTTAGTCGCGTACTTGCAACTCCGCTTCCGTCTTCTCGCTGGCCACCGAGGGAGAAGGACTGGTAGGTCGCTGAGCATAATTCGCGGCGTCCTGGGTCGCGCTCATCGACGGCGACAGGGAGTTCCTGGCGCTGCCGAGATTGGGCACGTCCAGACCGGCCCCGGCGGTCTCCTGCGATCCCGCAGCGGCGCGACTCCCGATGCCGTGGGTGCTCGCGGCGCTCGACGGGCCCACGTGGTTCGGACCGCCGGGCGAGGCGGTGAGGCCCGACGCGAGCGAGCCGACGCTACCGGAACCTGGACCGCTTCCGATACTTCCGGGATGACGGCGGGAACCGTGGGAGCTGCCGCTCCCGGCACGGCCGCCGCCGCCACCGCCGCCGCCACCGCCGCCGCCATGGTGAGTGCTCTGATCCTCCTCACTCTCCTCCTCGGATGAGCTTGGGTCTATCATCGTCTGATGAAGGTATGCTCTAAGGGAGGGTATGCACGCGGTTCTCGAACCCCTCCCCCCCTCACAAGAGGTCCAGCCGCTTCACGTGGTCACGGAGCCGTCGTGTTCTACTACTTCCGTAGCGTTGGTCACGTGCTCTTCTATAAAACTGAAACATCATGTATTTATATTATTATTTTTAATATGGTTATCTTTAAAGAAAGAAAGAGAGAGAGAGAATATCTTTATGCTATTTTTTCTTAAAATACGCAACTGAGAGAATAATCGATAATAAAAACGAATTTGCATCGCAAAGCATTGTAATGGGATATAATTAATGAAACTAATAAGTTCTTTAGTAGCTAGTCACATTAAACTACATGGCTGAGAATTAATGCATTTTATAGTAGGAAGTAAAACCGTAATTTCCTTTCTCTGACGTAAAGCCGGATTATTTCGTTAACCGTACAGCGCGAGAGTTCAATTATCTTGATTAAGTTTGGAATTTCATATTAAGTGCAGAGGGGGGGGAGGCGCACACAAGTTATAGTCACCGTTGCGATTGCTACGTCCATTGTGTCTAACGTATATACGCAGAAGTTGCGCGTCAAATTTGCCTGCGGGTTTCCTACGAAGCGAATTTCCATCTAATCTTTCGCGCAAAGGCGCGTTACTCTCGTTATACGGTAGGACTGCAGCTCGCGTAATTGCAGGCCGTTGCCGTTGTAACGCGAAAGCGAAGAAAGCCGTTTATCCTAATCCCGTTGCGCTGTCACGCATGAAACACAGCAATTTGCAATCCGCCAGCGTCACGCTTTGCGTCGCGTCGTCGCGATAACTCCAGAAGGAGGTCTCAAACGGAGGTCTTTGAGACTCGTTCTTAATTCCATTTCTCCATTAAGACGCTGCCGGACCTATTACGGACCCAAGGGTCCGTAAATAAACCCTTAGCGTACATCATGCTATCAAAACGCATTCAGAGCTAGTTGAAAGCGGCAACGAAAAGATCCGTTACGCATCAGTTTCCCAACGGAAATGGGGAATATAATTCTGATAATCCGTCGGAGAGACAACTAAATTTATCGAGTTTACAGGGTACTTTGTGCGCGCGGCTTTGGCGGCGTTCTACCTTAATTATAATTGATCGTTTGCAAAGTCTGTCGCGTTTCTCTTAAAATGCTGTCGGATTGCTTCGGGCGGGTTCAAGCGACTCTTTCACGAGAATTTATAGTGGTGAACGCAAAGACTTGTCCGAGAAAAAGAACGTTACAAATCGTTATGCGGCCGTAGAATCTAAAATGTATGTTCTAGAAATTTAAAATGCTAGAAATTTAAAGAAATACTTGAAGAATTTGTGAATACGACAGAGTCCAGAGCGAAAAATGGAATTAGTGAAATAATTACGTCGTAATTTTTATTATAATTGTTTAAAAGGCAATTATAATTAAAAGTACAGTATTCCGGAATTCTAGGAAACAAGCCTTTGGCGACATTTTAACATCACATAACGTCAACTTGTTTCCTAGAATTATAATTAAACTAAGTGTCATAAATATTCTCTAAAACTTTGTTATAACTTATAAGAAAAGAAAATCATTATTATATTAAATCATTATTAAAATATTCTTGAAGTCATTCAACTTTTATTAAAATTTTTGTCTATCTTTTATAGTTTTAACGCAATATTCGCTTTGAAAAAAAAATCTATTTTCTTTCAAAGGAGTGTTTGATCGCCTAAAAATGCGTATAAAAAAAAATACGTGTCAATATTTTGATCTCGAATACAACGTATTAAAAGCTCGTTAAAATAGAAAGAGGACACTTTCTTATCTTTCCTTGCTAATACATTTTTCCTATCTTTCCTTGCTAATACGATTTTCCAATGTTTTTTAAATCTTCATTCATTAAAAAGCGCTGCTGTTTATTAGAAACTCATTCGAGGTAGCAGAATATCTGTCATCTGACGAATAATCTATCTCTAGTAAACGAGGGCGTAAGCAGAGAGAATTGTCGAACGAATTTATTGATCTTTTCAATAGGATAAATACGCGTTCCCATATTTATTGACAGCACACATAATATGCTCGGCGGTGGAACAGTTCGTGGGCTACGGGTGGTGAAGCTTAATTGCATTTAATCTCTCCATACGCGCGCGATACAAGTCCATCGATAATTACACACCGGCCCTTTGATGTACGCCTGTAATGGTATACAGTCCCTCGCCCACATTCTCGCGTGCGCGCCACGCCGTTACACGTCGCGCTCGATTTATAACTGTCTTCCTGTCCTGCCGATGGACTTGCCTTCGTATCGGAAAAGCGCATCGATGTGTGAAAATGCGTAATATCTTCGAATGCGGCGTACATGTAAATAAATCGCGGCGACGAGATTGAACGCGCTCCACATAAAATCCGCAAGCTGCATGCAAGGATATGTCTAATAGATCGAAAGATCGAATTCAAAATTTGTTTTTCTTTCACAAATTCGAGAGATTGAATTTTTTATGTGACGTATTCGTCACAATAGTCGTCAAATCGAGAGACCATTATTTGCTCTTGCAATTTCCCAACTTTCAATATTAAATTCCTCGATTGATCGTAAACTATAGAAGAAATAAAGTCTCCGCTTATAAATTAAATGTCGACGTGGAATTAAACGAATTGGAATTAAAATTATATCTATTCTTCTCTGTTCTACAAAATTGCATTTTCTCGTTTTAAAAGTTTATTTCAATAGATCTAGGACACGTATGTTTCTACAAATGAGATAATTATGTTCAAAATAAATTGGTATCCTTCTTGTGTCGGTCTTAAAATTCCATCTATATAACATCTCGTATATTTCCAATTCTAATTCCAACAAATTTAATTATTTTACGATGTTTTCCAAATGATTTTTCACTCAATTAAATAAAAATTAGTCGAGAGAGTGACGAATTGAAACTACGTATCATCACAGCCGACGCAGAATCCTTCATTAACCAACGCGGCTCGATCTTGATTTAATATCGCCGGAATGTCATTACGCATTGCATTATTGTACGTTGGCGTACTTGCGTCGGAGGATCTAGTTTCGAACGAGATGTTTCGCGAGAGATGGATGGAAATGCCGGCGCGGATCCTTCTCAATGGCGTAATGTTCTCGGGCGGGTTTAAATGAGCTGACACGTGCAGACACGTGCTACGAAAAATGGATAGCTTATTACAAGCCCGGTTGCGCTAATGAAGAAACGCTCATCGCTCGAGCGTCCAACAAAGATATTAATTTGATGAGTTGGAATTGGCTAGCCAACTATTTTATTCCGGACGACTTGGCATAATTTTAAAATAATGAATTTCTTCCTTTATATTATAATATCGAAATGTCAGTTGCTAATTAATTAATGTGCAGTTATTAGTAATTATTAATACTACTTGCTAACCAATTTATCTCGTTGTCTTTCCGCTGAGAAAAATGTTGTACCAACAAAGAGTACACTGGTTAACAAATGTTAAGGAACAGCGTGTTAATTGCATTTAAAAATAAAATAACAAATTTTATATTTTACTTCCGATCAATTCGTTTACAATTTTATTTATTATTTGAATTTTCCAACATGCAATTTTACTTTATTACTAAAAGATGGTGTATTTTTATGCTCTTGGTCCTTTTCAATGTAATTTTTATTAATTTATTAAAAAGTTAATTTGTTTAAAATGTGTATTTGTTTATAAGAATGATTTATGTATAATATTATCTACATTACTTTGAACCCACTCTTTTGCTTTTCTTTGCTCCTTCTTCATTGCGGTCACATTCGGCCTGTATTTCCACAATGTTCATAACCAGTTTTTTTTATAGATGTTACATAAAGAAATTTTTGTTCAACATTCTCAGATAATTCACACAGATTCACAGTTTTTAAACATTTTATTTGATTTTCGTGGCTTTCCTGTACACGGTTCATTACCTTAATGATATATCACGTATATCGGCATATAAAATTCCACTGCGTGTAAAATTCTAGAACTCAAAAAGGAAACTCGGTTGGCGAGCGATAGCTACGTGACGTGGGATTTAAACGCGCAGAAGCCGTCGATAAGAAACTTCCGGCCGGCGAAATCGAAGCGAGAAAAGCTATCAGAGAGGAGAACTAGAAAGAGAAAGAAAGAGAGAAGGAGAAATATGGAGTTCACGACCGAGTTCTGACCTGCGATCAGGTTCAACCTCGATCGAGGAGGAAAGAGATGTGGATCGCGTATACGTTTTCTCTCTTCTTCCTGGAATTTTTCCAGACGCGCGACAATCGATTTCCACGCGCGAATGTCGAGCGCTCTCGGCGCGAATGCAGAAAGCGAACTGGAACGGAAGAAAGACGTGCGTGGCCGTCACAGTGCACACATATCGATTGTCGCCAGTCGTCCCTCTCGCTTCCTCTTTCACCCGTTTCTCTTTCGAGGTCTAGATATCTGATTCACTCGCGCGACATGTACGCACGCGTGTGCACGGCACCGTGTGTTAACGGCGAGCGAGCCGAATGGAATTGCCACAGATCTGGAAAATCGCAGGAAATTAGGGAACGCCGGGAAAAGGCTTGAGAAATTCCGAAGGGATTTCCGAATTTCCCGAGCGCGAATGGAATTAAATGGAAAATTTCTTAATCGAACACGTTGTACGAATTATGTCGTCTTAATTGCTTTTGATTAGAGAGTGTATCTTTTTACGCTTTTATCTGTTCTTAGGCCAAAATTTTAAATAAGATAATCGTTGACGCAAATTTTTAATACATTTTACCAAATATCTAGGTTAAATATAAAAATACTAAAACTATAATCCACTGGTTGACAGTTGACTAGAGAACAAAGACATATGTCGGTATAACTACTACTGGAATATCGTTCCAAGTAATCCGAGTTAAGAAACACATTATATACTTTATTGATATAGTTACGTGATGACAGGGATATCTAGCCATTGAAAGAATATTCGATCACGTTTCCAGTCATCTTCAGCAAAAACTCTTAATCCCACGCTTTTGGAGA